GCAGCAGCTCTTTCTGTGAAGGAATCAGTCATTCAGCTCTGAAGACGCAGCTGGTTCAGGAGACAACAGCAAGAAGAGAGCAGCTCAGTGTGGCACAGATTTAATAAAGACCGTTCTCAGTGTCTTTAAAATGCTGCAAAGACTTCAGACAAAGCTGCTCACGTATGGTTCCTGAGACCCGACTGCTCTCATTTATTAACCCGTGTCCATCATTATAGAGGAACAACCAAGGTTCCTCTCAGAGAGGCTGAGTCTCTGAGAAGGAAAGATGTGAAGAGGTTCACCACTCTGTGAGAGACTGCATGAGCTAATAGTTCAACAGTTTCAGAATAATGTTCCTGAGTGTCGAATTTAATAATCTAAATACATAATATTATTTAGAGAGAGAAATCTCTATACAAAGGGGACAAGGACCAAGATCGGATGGTCCTGATCTTCAGGCTTTCAGGCAGCACTGCATTAAAAACAGACAGGACGCTGGAGTGGAAATCACAGCATGGGTTTAGAGTCACTTCAAAAACTCTTGTCTGTGATCACATTTCATCACTGCATCCACAAATGAGGTTCAAACTGAACCATGCAAAGAGGGAACCAGGTAGAAACAGGATCCAAAAACACAAGAGACTTCTCTGGACTCGAACCCATCTCAGGTGGACTGAGGGAAAGAGGAAAACCGTCCTGTGGGCTGAGGAATCAAATCTGACATTCCTTTTGGAAATCATGGAGCTGTCCCCATGTTATTTCCTGTCAAATGTTGGGTGTTAAGAGTCTGTAAACTTGGTTGGTGTCTTTATTTTAGCATCCTGACTTCTTCATCATCATCAGGGCTGTTCAGAGTCATTTTGGTTAAGCTGCTCTGCAGACTCAGAGTATTAACAGGGTTTATTGATTTTTTTCTAAATGGAGGATTTATAATGAGGTTGATTTTAATTTGTGAGTTAGTTGTTTTTGTTCCTTTGAGTGAGCGTTTCTTTGTTGCTGTAAGATTTGTGTATTTCTATCAGATTGAGAGACAAAAATAGAACTTTAACAGAAAAAAAGGAAAAAACCCGACATAAGGATTTCTACTATCTGAGCATTTCATTTTACAACTTGTCTACGTTCACTCGAGTCCTCTGTTTGGACTGATCACTCGTCTGTCTGTTGTTATATAAACTGACTTGTTTGGACAAAAGGAGTATCAGCCCAGCAGGAGAGCGTCCGGTCCACCAGATGGTCGGCCCTGCCCCGACTGTTTAACACCCTGGTGTGTTTCAGAGACGTGTCAGCAGTGTAACGTACACATACTTTGTACTGCACCAGTTGAAGCCTAATCACCACATATGATTGTTACAATTTGTTGGCATTGATTTTTATGTCCTCTTAATGTAGTGAAAACACAAACTTTAGCTGCAGTTGTGAGAGTCATCCATCTCTGACCTCATTCTGCAGATGTCCCTGCTCGTCTAATGCCAGCTTCTAATGCATTAGGCATATTAGCTAATGGACAGCCACAATTACCAGCTGAAATGATCCTGGCTGCATCTTGAACCGATGGAGGCGATCATTGCAGAATCTTCTCTTTCCCCGGTTTGCTGTGATTCAGTGGCTTGACATTTCGGAGGCTCAGGATGACCCCCAATCCTCCAGATCTGCACCTCCTGCCCTCCTGCAGCCATGCAATCTTCCTCCTTTCAATGTTTCTGCTGCAGTGGACAGAGGTCCTGCCTGCCCGCTTTATGAGCTGTTAGACACCCAGAAGCTATCCTGTAAACGGCCAATTAAATGCGAGGTAGATGGCGAGGGGCTGCATACCTGCCCAGAAGAAACCATAAAATCTAATAAGGAGGCAAGAATGCGGAGCGTGCAGGAGGCTCTGCTCGGGATAATTGCAGCAAGGGAATTCCTCACTGCCACCACCCGATCCCCACCTGAGACGATTTCAGCGTTTCAAACTGAGAGGCAGGAGAGGAGGAAAATCTCCTCGTTCATCATGTGATAAAGTGGGAAATCCAGATCCCGGGTGGACCATTCAGCCTCAGAAATATGGATGAAATGTAGGGTCCCTCAAGGTGTGAGGGATGGGCTCGTCAGCAGCAGGCGTGCACACATGATTATACGCTGCATACATACACGAGCAGGGGCCATTAACCCTTTGTGCTGCATACATAAACATCTCACTCTGAGCTATAACCGCTGACAGCTGGAATAATGAGACACAATGCAAGGAGCTGCTTTTCTCGCCTTATATTTGCAACACAGGCATTAAACTGTTGTTCAATTTGTGGGTCTGCAGCCGTGAGTGTCCTGTCAGACCGCTCTATTGCTTGGTATACATTGAAACACACAGTGTCACATAGAACAGACAGCACAGACAAAGAAAAACCAGATTAGGACTGTAGTTTCACACAGGGAGAGGTGGATTCTGCAGTAACACTGATCAGCTCACTGAATCTGCACAATCTGTTTGATCGCAGAGAGGGGGGAGGCGTGTGAGGAGGCGGAGAGACCCTCCTCATAAATACTGAGAGCAATCTGAAAGGAGACGATCAACGGGAGACCAGCAGGAGAAGGCGTCCCGCTCTCAGACCCTGCAAAGACTGCATCAACAGGGAGGAGGAAAACAAACACACACGTCTCCACTGATGCTCTTCTCACAGTTTTGGCCATCAGTCTTTAAACTCCAATAAAAGTGGAACTTCTGAGTTAACGGCTGAGACCTGGAAACACAACGCTTCTTTAAATCTCTGATTATTAAAGGGGTCTGAATTCTGCATTAAACATGAAGCAGAAAGTGCACATGCTGGGTTCTTTGCTTATTATTATATCTTATTTTTTATCGTCATCAAACCTGCTTTAGATTAATGATTCACACCTGATTCAGAAGTTGCAACAACAGGACATCAGATTTAACCTTGAAATATGAAACAGAATTTTCAAGGCATGAACTCTATCCTGAATCTAAGAGCAGTGATTATTTACCTTGTGATAAAAATGATGTGTACCATTTTTGGAGCTAAAATCACCATAAAGCTTCAGTAATTATCTGGTGATGTAGTTTCATTTAAAGTTACAGTGTGTGATATTTAGCAGCATTTATCTTTGGGGTGTCTGATACAACTTTTTTACTTCTGATATGATACTGATATTGATCCGATATTGGCACAAACTTGTGCGTGACAAGTTTTGCACTCGGCTGCAACGTCGTTTTCAGACTTTAACAAAAAATACTGCCACACAGCCGACATCGCTGTTACTCCTTGCTACTTTGTTAGTACCTTAGTACACTGTTGTTGGGATCACATGGGCTCTGCATGCTGGATCTGGGCGCTGCTAGCTAGAGATGCCAGAGTGGAGTCTGGAATGGACTGCTTGTATCGAAGTGCTGATATCGTAGATTTTAGATGCAGGCCGATATAATGCGATATTTGTTTTTTGGCTGATATCGGACCAATATCCGATATCAATATAGTATTGGGACAGCCCTTGTTTATCTGAACAGACTGTAGAGATGGGATAAAATATTAATGTCTGTTTAAACTGGTGAAAAATCAACTGAATATTTTTAAAAAATGATTTTGATTCACATCTACACAACAGAGGGTCCTCTTCCACTGAGAGCACCATCATTTTTCTAAAAATCTTGGTAGTAAGACTTGACAAACAGAGGATTGTACTCATCATGCATCACGGAAGTTTTTGTCTTTGTAGGCCACCATTGCTTCACCAAGGGGTGAGCAAGGGAGCATTTCAGTATTCGTGCATCTGATGGTATTTACCATTTCTGCACATTGTACCTCTGAGATCAGCCCACAGAGTTTAACTGACATTTTACTGTGGTCACATTTTTGGCCGTATCGCTCAGCCCTCAATCTTCATGTTTATCATCACTCATGTTTCCTGGTTTCATCTTACATGTGTCAGTTTTTATGGTCACTATCAAGAGCTCTGGTCATGGAGTGAGCACAGAGATCGTGAACTCCAAGCCATGACATTTCTAGAGTCCCAGAGCGTATTCCCAGCCTGACTCAGACCCGATCCAGGTCCTGAATTCATTCATCATTTCTTTAACAAGGGCCATCTGCTGCTGCTGGTGGAGGTAGAATATGTGTCTCGACTGTTTAGCTGTGGCAAAAACAACCATTGACTTTAATTTCTGCATTTTTCTCTAATGTAATATTTACCCGTTCATTACTCATAAACAGCTTTTGTTCTGGGCCCTAAAGATGAATAACGGTGAACAAAACAGAGTATGAAAGAGGGGGAGAGGAGGTGTTCCTCATTAATAATCATACAGTGACTGCAGTGCAGAGGTTCAGGAGAAGAAAATAAGATGGATTATAACCCAAACTTCTTAAACACACAAAGTGTCGCTGTGTTCCCAGGTCTCGGCTCAGGTGAGGACGATGTTCACCTGCAGACTGAACGACCAAATCTGAGAGAATTAGACCTAAGCTGTAACATAACCAGAACTCTACACACACAAACCCAACATTGACATTACTCTGCATAAGTATCACGATGTAACACACTGTACATCACTGCCATGCATTGCATTTGGACGATGGGACCTGGAGGGAGAAAACAGACCCATCTTTCTTTACTAGTTGCATTTGTTTGGAAGTGTCAGCACCTCACGGGCTCGGGAGTCCATTTGGTTCCGATATGATTGCACAGTGAAAACAATCCCCGTCCTTTCTCACCCCTCAGTTCCTCCATCATGAAGCGATGGGAAACCCATTTCTCCATCCAGATACTTGCTTCTCTGCAGCCATGCAGAGTCTATCACGTGGTTCTGCTGATCTGTGACAGTGTATGGTCTGCAAATATTTCCTCTTTTAATGGTATAAAACTTTTACCAAATCCAACACAGAGGACCAGAACCTCCAGATAAAACACTCCGCTCACGATTCAGGAAACATTGGAAGATCTGTGTGAGAAAAACTGTACTCCAGGACTAAGTTTGCATCTGTGTCAGGGTCCTTCGTCGTCCTTGTGTGTTTGTGACCTGTAGTGTCTTATCACTGGAAAGGCCCAGATCCAAAACTCTTATCCCACTGGGAGCACTGCTGCTCTAACTGGTCCAGCAGTTTGTCCACTGAGTCCTCTTTATTCTCCAGTTTCAGGTACCGTCTCCCGCAGCCCAGGTCTAACCGGGGCCAGCTCCGGTGTGTCTGCTCCTCTGCGGTTTCTAAAACCTGCCGGGGGATGTTGATACAAACTTGCGACCCCGCCTCTCTCCTCATGACTCCTCCCCCCTCCTCCCCGTCTTCCTCCTCTCTCCGCGGTGTTTGACATCTCTCTGTCAGACGCACACCTCTCTGAGAGTTGTAAGGTTTAGTCCTGTAGCTCATGCTCTGGCAGCGCCTCGGCTGGGTCACCGGGACCTCCACCTCCTCCAGCTCCAGCGTGGACATGGAGCTGGCCGACTGGAGGCAGTTGTTGAGTTTGACGTAGGCGGGGGGGTGCGGGTGACTGCTGGTGCTGTCCTCCTGCTCAGCTCCAGCCTGTGTGTTAAAGTCAGTCTGACTGGAGTTGCAGGAGTCGGATTGGGAGGAGTGGAGGGAGGGCGGGTGATCTGATTCTTGGTGGTGGAGGACGGCCTGCTGGTAGATGCCCTCTATACCGTCCTCCTGGTCTGTGGGGGTCCTGGTCTGCAGCAGAGGCTCAGAGCTGGCCAGCTGCTGCAGACACAGGATGTTGAGGTGAGCGGCAGGTAGACTGCTCACCCACTGGTAGTGTTTGGCCATCGAGTTGGCAGCGGCGATCTCCGTCAGGTCAGCAGAGGGCACCGCCGCCGACACTGAGCAGATCACACTCCGCATCTGAGCCAGCAGCATTTGGGTCTCTCTGTCCCGGTTCTCATACAGGACCGTGTTCGCACAAATGAGGATAAAGAGTCCCACCCCCATGATGACGGGACCCAGCAGCTTCATCCTCTCGCTGTGGATGAGGTTCGCCGTGGAAAGAAGGCCCTTCGCACCTAGACTCCACCCAGAACTCTGTGACTCAGAAAACCCTTCCCCATCTGAAGGTCCCAGGATGGATGCTCTGGATAGTCTGTAGGGCCAGTATCCCGCCACAGCCAGGGCGGTGCCAACCACGACTACGATGACCCCCAGCACCAGGAAAGCTCCGGGCATCGAGCGCATACGGAGCTTTCCTCGGATCACATGGTCCTTCTTCTTCCTGCTGCGCAGCGTGAAGCGACGCTTTCGTTTGCAGGGGGATGACGCTTCAACACCTCGAGTCTTCTGGGTCTTCATGGCTCCGCTCAATCCAGATCTCCTGGTTTCGGCTGGTCAGAAGACTGTGGGGGGACACACATAAAGAGTTACTTCAACTTCTAAAACATGCCAGCATCAGACCGAACCTGAAGCAGGTCTGTTGTCTAAATCAGGACTCAGAAGAGGAACCTGAAAAACAAAAGAGAGAGGGACAGAAACAAGTCCAAATAAAGCATGAACTGACAGAGTTAACTTTTCCTTTAGGACTGAAAGATTATCATATGAACTCTACAGTTACGCTCACCGTGGGACAAATTTCCACCCTCGGACCTGAAATACATCCTGCTGCCATGATGCATGATTGAACATTCATAAAACTCTGCCTGATATCACTTAAATGCAGCTGCTGCGTTTGTAGAGTGTGTGTCTATGTGACACGACCATTGAACTCAAACATGCACACAAAGCTGTGGACATCACAGATGACGCTGCAGATGCTTGATTCAGTGAGCTGGACCTGGAGCAGATAAGAGGGCAGGACACGGTGTGGTAAAGTGAGAGCAGAACTCATTTAAAGGTAGACCTAGAAACCCAAATAATTAAAAACTGTAGGGGCTTTATTAGAGTTTTAAATTATTCATTAACACTCTGCATATATTTAGTCTGATTCCTACATTTTTCATCTCCCAGTACTTTTACTGAATGAAAAGAAAAGCTTTTTTCATATTTGTCCAATATTGTGCAATACTCCTTTCAGATAAACATGTAAAGCTCAAGTCTGAGTAAATCAGCACTTACATGTTTGGTTGGATAGTCATATCAGATTTGTCTTTGTGCCTTTGGGTAAAGGAGAAAGAGGCTCATATGTCTCTAATTAACCAGGAAAGATAAAACAGAGGTTGGGACTCTCCACTATTGTTTAAAAATACATTTAACAGCCTCTCTGCAGCCCCGAGAGGACCTCTCTGAACTCAACAAAAGCCACCAATCTCCCAGATCCACATCCAGCTCTCTTCATTTGATGAGGGGAGCGTAATGGGCTTTAAGGGAGCTGAGGTTGGGAATTAACTTCACTGATGAGTGGTGGAAAGAAACCTCTTTAGGAACAACAGAAGCTCCTCCTGCACCTCAAATCGTGACTCAATCGGCCCTGCTGTCTGAACCAGGATTACATGAAGAGGACATGCTCACCTATTTAATTTTATGTTGTGGTGTGCAGTTCCAGAAAATGTTTGTGATATTAAAACTCAAAACCTGATTGAAAGCATCTAACAACTCTAACATTGTGAAGCAGACATTCAGAGCATACCTAACCCCTGATTTGATACTGGATTTAATTCTAGGAGGAGTCTGCTGATCATTCTGTTCCAGTTAAAACCCATAAAACTAGGAGTCCTTACCCTGACAAGTTCTTTAAAACCATCTCTCGGCAGCTCGGGTCACAGCTCTGGTTAAAACCTCAGAAATGTTCTTTCAGGTTTACACCCTCTGAAGCTGTTCCCCCTCCTGACTCTGTGTTCAATGATGCAGCTACAAAAAACAGCTGATGGCCAACTTTTCAGACACTCATGTGCAGCCAACAGTTAGAAATGAACAACTTCCAACCAAGACTTCCTTTTCTGAGCGCGGCATAGTTGAGAAAGAAGCCATGTGTTTGGATTTAATGTAAGGAGAAATTCATCCCTCTATGTATCTGTTTGGACTACAAACTGTTCACTTTTTGATGTTCATGAGATCACCTACAGGAAAACTCTTCGTCTGTTTGTGTTGAGTTCAGTTTCTCTGTAAGTAGTCTCTCAGAGGCGTCACTCTGGTTTCCTTCAGTAGTATGAACCTGAAACAGAAACTGATGTTCTCCTCAATAGTAGGTCTTCAATTTGCTGAAATAACAACACCATGATCCAGATCAGTCCGAAGTCCAGCTTTGTCAGGTCTGTCCTCAAGAGGAGAAGAAAACTACTTTGACAATGTTTGTTTGTTGAATGGAGGTCAGATCCATCATTTGGTGATGCAGTCTGTAAATCTAAACTCTGATCGTTTTTAGTGTCTCAGTGTAAATATTTGATAAAAACCAGATTGTTAGCTGATCTTCATTCAGATATCTGTTTATACAGAGACAGAAATCCTCCTCAGATCACCAACCATGGGAGCTGGAGGTCATGATGGAGGTTTGTGTTCTTCCTGCTTTTGCTCTCCATACAGACTGTTTTCCCTGCAGACACCAAAGCCTGTTGACTCCTGATAGGTCAGTTCTGTTCAGACTACAATCAGAAGCTAGAAAACTCTTCAGACTAAAATCAAGACTTGAAGTAGTTGTTCTACATTTTCTCACATAGGAACCATGAGCGAACTTAGCTGCATGATCAAATCTTCCACCTGGACTCCGAGGGTGTCTCACTGGGTACACAAAATCAAGGACAATATTAAAACTGTTTTTTTTTAAAGGGGGATGTTTTTCTTTTACTCATATGTGGCCTGTGAAATCAGTGTTATTGTTCCTTTGATTGCTAATTAAATATTTTACTTCAAATATTGCACATTCTAGTAATAGTATATTTGTGGCTGGAGGAACTTTTCCTAGTCTACTCTTGCAAAAGAATCAGACACCTTCTCAAGAAATCTTTGTCGCGGTTAAACTTCTTCCAGTGTGCAGAAGTCGTCAGCTTTAAAGCTTGACTTTAGATTTCCCAACACTGGAAACGCTGCAGGGGAGTCTTTGCAGCTAGAGAGATGAATGTTGAGAGAAGTGTATTTATTTAATGTTTGTTTGCATTGGGATCCTCACAGAAAGAAAGTCAGTTCTGCAGCATTTATAGCCTGAGCTCATTTGAGATGATGATCTCTTAAAGGGATTTTAAAAACATTAAAAATATACAGCAAACAAAAAACAGACAGTATTAACCAAACAAGAAATGAGGCTTTATACTGTCTCTCTGTTTCAGCTGGGCTCGGTTCTGGACGGAGGTGTGATTTTCTCAGATTATTTCATTCATCCCAACGAAGCAGAACCACACCTCAAGAGCTGACAGAGTGTGAATGTGAAATATGTAAACATTTACATAACTGAGAAGGATTGACTCCTCGCTAAGCGGCGGACATCAGCATGATAAAAATCCCTCCACGCTGACTGGACGATTGCGAGCAGCTCTCAGTAATTACAGCCCGAGTGTTTGAAGCACTTTTTCCATCTCTGCTCTGTTTATGAGCGTGTGAGAGCTCCGGGAGAACAGCACATGTGTGAGTGTTTCTCTACTTTTGTTTGTACCTCGTTGGATTTACAAGCTCCCCACAGACACGGAGGTTTGGAACAGATTCAGGGGTGATTAACGGTGAAAAAGGAGTCTGCGTGGTAAACAACCACCGACTAATGGGAGGCCAGAGTGAGTTAAAACAGGGCCAAGTATGTCTGGATTCCAGGCATCCATGTGTGAAGCATAGTACTCTGTCATGTTGACAGATAAGACGCATTTCAGGAGGAAACTATTTGGTGTTACCTACAGCAAACTCAGGGTGTGAGAGATGCTCTGAAGCTCTGCTGGACTGCTCAGATTTTCTAACGCTCAGATTCGTTTCCTCCACCAGTCTGCTCCTTAACGCTCTCCATCTTACAGCAAGCAAAATAACTGCACAGCACGTCAGAGGGACTTCACATGGACTTAGATAGTTGGTACCAACACCAATACAGTCTGATTTAAAAAAAAGAGTAGGACTTGTTTTATTCTTTTTGAGCCAAACATCCTCAACTAAAATCTGTGTTATTTATATTTAGTAGACTGGGTTTTAGTGTAAGAAGTGTTCTGGTGTAAAGCCTTTATAGTCTTGGTGTTACTTATTAATTTAATCCTCACTTATCAGCAGGTTTTGGTCCAAGTCGAGAGCAAAAGCAGGCAGAACACAATTCACAATGCATCAAGATAGAAACAAACAGAGACAGGAATTGATAACACTTCATTGATACTGATGCCTTTATCAATTTTGCTTGTGATCTAGTTCTCGATCGACCGTTGTGGATTTTCTGTAAGGGACAAAGTCGGCCTGAAAAAGGTTTTCCTGTAATATTATCATCACTGATGATATTACATATTGCCTATTTAATTGCCTTATATTTACCGTTGTTTGTTTTTTACCGTTGTTTGTTTTTATCTTTTTGTAAAGCACCTTGTTGCAGCTTGCATGAAAGGTGCTATATAAATAAAGTTTGATTGACTGAGACAGTAGAGGCCTGGCCTCTAACTGGACCTTTACAGGTCAGGAGATCACAGATACAGCCTCCGATTGGTTGAAAGACCAAAACAGTTTTTGACAGATGACCTGTTTTTGAGGGATTTGATGGAGACAGTCTCTTAACATCACTGATCTTCTCAGTCAGTGGATTTTTGCAGTTAATTGCAACGTCTGTTTATAATGCTGAAATTGTAAATGCAGTTTACCGGACGAGGTTTAGGACCGCTCCTGTCTTCTGTCCATTATGATTTCACTATCCCAAATGCGATCACTGTTGGCTCAAGAGTTGAAACTATGTACCCACAAACCAAAGGTAGCATTGCAGTGACTACATCCAGCTATTCCTAACACCCAAGGGTCATACTTACTTTATAGCATAAAGTATAGTAAAACATGAACTGTATAAATCGAGAGGCTTCATGATTGTATGTGTAGGGAAAAACTTTCTTTCAGTGATGATTCATTATTCATCTCTGGGCTCTCATATCCCAAGGTGACATACTCACCTTGGGATATGAGAGCCCAAGAATTCAGTCTCAGACATTTTACTGATTAAAGTATTGACCTGCTGTCAAAGGGAATAATTATTAAATTAATAAAAATAAAGAAATAATGACTTCATTTAATAGTAAATGTTTTCCTGCACATAATTAACATAGACCAAAGCTTTTCTGTGACAGCTGCAGCTCAGATACCTGACCGTTCTCGGCTCTAACTCTTCTTAAACCTGCTGTAAATCTTCCTCACAGTCAGAGTAACAGTTGTGCAGAGAAGCTGCATTATTCATACAGCAGTATGTCAGAGATATGCTCCTTTCCTTTTGGGTTCAGACTGCAGCAACACAAACATGTAGAGAGGAGCTGATTCACAGCTCACTGCATCCTCAGGCTCTCATACAACTTACCCACTGCTGCTGCAGGATCAAGCTCCTCTGAGCACAAAACACTTCTTCACCCAGTTTCAGATGTATTATTGTCATGCATGAAACAGGGACATGACAGAGTGATAGAGCCTCTTCATCCATATCATCCTCCGGCTCTTCTTTTGCTTGTGGCCGATAGGGGAAGCAGCTGGACTGCAGCCAGTTCACCGCTGGGAAGCCACAAGTTGTGCTTCATGATGTGAACGGACAGATGCATGTTATGATAACCTGACAGCCCGATGAGAGGGGCGGGGATGGACCCCATAAACAAAAAAACCTGATTCTCTGTCATGAAATGCAACAATTTTAAAACTGAAACCCGCGAGAGGCTGTTTGTAAATGAAGTCCTGAAACCCCCCAAATTCAAGGTTATTGTGCAGACTGCAGTCAAAGCCAGGGAAGGGTTTGATCTTTACCTGAAGGGTGGGAATCCGTGCAGAGCCGTGCCGGACTATCTCTCCTAAAGCAGAGTCTGCTGTATGGAGGCTCCAGACAGACAGGACCGAGTCTGACCGACCGAGCTGCAGCATTCCTCTACGACAACACAGCAGCAGCAGCTCCCTGTGCACCGACACATCCGAGAAACACCGAGAGAGAGAGAGGCGTTTATCCACTGCGTCCAGCTGCACCACTGACCGGGACCAGAACCAGGAGAGAGACCGGGACCAGGATCAGGAGAGAGATCAAGACCAGACGCCAGAGAGAGGGAATCCTTCAGCTCCTCAGATCCAAACCAAGCAGCCGGTCACTTCTGGAAACTTGCCTGCTCGTCTCCTGTTGCTACTTGTTCATAGTTTGAAGACGCAGAATATCCAGATTATTCAGGATTAAGAGTCTCCATCACAATCCAGTCGTGAGTGACTTTATCCCCTCTGTTTGTACCATGCAGGGTTTTGGAGATCCGCACCCCCCTCTGCAGCTCCTCCGCTCCGTCTTGACAGAAACCTTCTCTCTCCTCATGAGGACCAGCAGAGTCCAGCCTCGCGCTGCGCTCCGGAGTCTCTGTCTGCGGCCTCTAAACACGGACCAACACGGTCAAATACACCTCCCACCCTCTGTGCAGCCCCCCACAATAAAAGTAGGGGAGACTGGGGACGGTTGCAACACTTGCTGGATTTGGACAAATCAAACACTGAATATTAAATTAGATGCAGCCTATTGGTTGCAAAAGCCAATGCAGAAGTGGCCAAGCTGCATTCTCTTTAATGTCCAGCAGAGGGCGACACGAGCACGAGTGGGTGTTAAATGCAGAAGAGCATGGAAAGTGAGAAATTACACCTTTTTCTCTTTTGGCATTGAGTGTCTAATGAGTCAGAAATGAATGATCGAGAAATTTGAAAGAGGATAACACTGCCTGCTGATGTTTCCATGAGGGTTCGATAGCAAAAATCTGAGAAGTCATACAAAAAGGTTTGAACTGGAGCTCAAAGTTAAACCACAGAGCCAAACAGTATCTCTTTAAACAGGTCTCAGGTGTAATTTTGCTGGAAGAGACGGATTTAGTGGAGGAGGATGTGTGAAAGTGACTTAGAGAAATTCCACCTTGAGTATGAGGCATCGTTTTCAGATTAAGAGGAGATCCCAAAAACTGCAAAAAAGCAGAAACAAAAAGGCTTTCTGATAGTGATGAATAGTGGTCACACCTTTACAGTTAAAGTCGTAAAAATAAAAGCTGTACTGTGGTAAATATGAAAATGATAACTAAGCTTGGACTGAAAATAGGATACTTCTTTACTAACTTGTAGAGATGGAAACAATAGATATTTATATCTGGTGTTCAGTGAAGGCAGTTCATTTTTGACATACCGTATTTTTCGTACTATAAGGCGCACCATCAATGAACGCATCTATTCACGTCTATTTTGATACATAAGGCGCACCGGATTATAAGGCGCATTAGGCCAAACAAAACAGTCAGATAACTCAAACTTCATTTAACTCATTCAATAACTTGACGAGGCTACGGTAGCTGCAGTGCTCCGACAAGCCAAAAGGATTTTAAGTGTGCCTTATAGTGCGAAAAATACGGTAATAGACAAGAGGAGTAAACATGAGGAGGGTTAAATCAGTAATTTTACTTTTACTCAAGTAGTATTTAACAGGCAGTATTGAGCTCTTCTATATCCCATAATGCAGTGGTTCTCAACTGGTGGGTCCAGACCCAAAAGTGGGTCACGGACACGTTCTGGATGGGTCAAAAACAGCTGGTCAAAAAAGTAAATATTTAATGTGATATTTATTAGATATCTGAAATTTCTCTATATGCAACTTCAGTAGTTGTCGTCCTCATGTTGTCCCCTTCATGTGCTCTGAAATGCACTTTACTCAATAAAACAAGTGGATTTATGTTAAAGATTAGAATCTTTAAGGTTTTTTTTTTATAAAAAATAAATTTGTTTGGTTTGAATTCTATAAAAGTGGGTCACGACTTAAGGACCGTGGGAAACTGTGGGTCCCAGAGTGAGACCAGTTGAGAACCACCGCCATAATGCATCTAGTTTAAGTAAAACAAGTTTGAATCCAAAAGGATACAAGTTTATTAACCTCTCCCACCTGACAGTGGAGGTGAGGAGCATGCATGCTGAAATACACCTGTAGAACAGAAAAATACACTATCACACTTGTTCTCTCCAGTCAGTGGCTCATGGGGGAAACTTTGCTTTTCTGTCCACAGTGAGATTTCCTGTAAGCTTCGACCTGAATTTCACCAACACAAGGTATGACGCAAACTGGACAATGTACAATGAACCTGCTGCACAAACCAGGCCAAGAAATGAAGCAGAGAAAGAGGACAACAATGTGCTCAAACAGATGTGCTTTGGTAACATCTAAGGGTTATATCTGACTTTTCAGCTTCCTTATCAGAGGAATCAGACTTCAGGGAAACCCAAATCTCCCTGAAGGACTCAGTGATGGTTTAATAGTGAAGAGTACTTTTAGGATGAGAAGTAATCTGGACTCTCAGACAGGGACATGAAGTCTCTCCAGACTACAAACCCACAAAGATAGAAAGCAGATAAACAGGATTATACAGAGGACGGACTCTCTGTGCTCTCCCTGTTTACTGCAGTGATGACAGAACACTTTTACTGCAGGTGATTTCAATGTGTACTTCAGCACCAGCCTGCTCTGTTCTTATTTATTAAAATCAGATGACCCTGAAGAGAGAGAAGGAAGCAGACACGGTGTCTTGTCACCACCTAGTGGACACTGAACAAGCTCACACTGTAGAGTGCTTTAAAGTTACAGAGAGCTAATCCAGACTGTAGGACATTTGTTTTAATTTGAATATGATTGGCTGTAGACAGGAATCCTGTATTCTGTCCATTAGTTTGGGTTTATTTCCTGTCAAGTAAAACAGAAGTTTAGTAACAACACTCTCTATAAGGAGTAGGTCTGAGCATACTCTCTGTTTTTATTCACTAAAACTCAACATTAACGACCATGAGCCAGAAAATCTTTACCAAAATGATCCAAGGGTAAAAGTCAAAAGAAGAAAACACAATATATGAAACATCTATACCACTTAAAGACCAGAATTTAAAAATAGAAAATACCATGGCATAGATACCAGAAAAAAGATTCATGTACAAATTATATTTGTACATGCAGGGGCAATTCAGAAAGCTGAAGGTAACCCGTGTCTCTGTTCGGCTCAAGGACTTTAAATATTCAAGAGAATTTAACTTGAATGACCATCATCCACCAGCTGAGCTCTGGTTTGCAGCTTTTATGTAGTGCAAAATTTAATCCCTTGTGATACAAGATGTTCAATACTTAGCATTAGAAGGGAATTTAACTTTTCCTCTGAACACATCAGGTTCAGTAACAAAAAAGGAAATTTAAGTCTGTCATTCCTGAGTGGCGTTCTTTGCTGACTGAACTTCAATCATTTTTAGAGACAACGCCGCTCTTTTACCTGCCCTCAGGCTAAGAGAGATAAAATACTTATAAAATTGATCAGTTAATTATTCAGGGACATTACCTATCATAGCATAAGATAAGAGACAGGCTTTATTGGTCACTAAAAAAGCATAAGGTAGTTTGGGGTTAATTTGCCAGGCATATTAAACAGGTTAAGTTGTAGAGGTCAATGTTTTTAAAGGTTAGAAATGATGTGAGATCTCACATAGTTTGTTCTTCTTGTAGCAAACAAAACATTGGCATTGCTGATATTATCCTGTACCCTGTATCACGGTCAGCTTTCTTGGTTGGTCTGGTATAATGAGGACCTAACACATCACATTATACCAGACCACATCCTGTCATGCCCCAATAACAAACACTATTTCATCACACCATACGATACCCCAGCATACCTTTCCATACAACAATAACCATACAATACAATACAAGCCTATGCTTATACTGGGGTCTGTTCTGCATATCCTGGTCTGCTGGTGTGTGTTTGTTGTTGGGTCATCTGTGTGACAGATAAATTCCTTGATAGGTCCAGTGGGCTGGGTCATGAAATGCAGACCTGATCCTCAGTCTGTTTGGATCCATTCTGGATTATGTCATGTTGATGAATGTGGTCAACTCAGTGTTTGTGAAGCCGCCCACTGGTTCCATCTGGTCTTGCTTTTTTCTGGACTTCTGCCCTGGACCATCCATTAACCTCTGCTTCAGATGTTCCTGTCCTGTAAAGGCCAAAAACCGTAAAGCAACTTTACAAGAATAAATGGATGCCAAATTTATGTGCCCCCCACTCACAGATTTATGTTAAATAAGGATGGTGGTACTCCGGGACTTTGGCATTAGAGTTATACAGTGTGATTAACCTGAAGACCTAGGTGCAGATAACTTCCTGGTCATATGCTTCACTGTATTTGTTCATCTCTAACTTAAAATCAAGAAATTGGGATTCTCTGTTTTCGATCTGTAATTTGTCCAAAAAAATAAAGTGTCTAATTTTTTCTCTGAGTTGTGATTTTTAGTTATTCCCTTGATGGTTCTGATGTTTAATTCATGGATACAGTTTCAGACTCTTTGACAGTTTCATTCTCCTAGTCTCTGTGTGTCTGTTAATGTTTAATCTGAACCACGCTATCATCTTTTTATCACACTTCAGAAAATGATCAACTTCACAAACTTTCGTTTTACTCAGATCTCTTTTATTGTTTCACATTATGGTTGTTTTCCTTTCTTTTCAGCTCTTTTATATTTTCATGTAAATCAACCGAGTATACATTCATTATGGGCCTTATGATCCCATTTAATCAAACATTGTGTTTTTGTGAGCCCTTGGGCTTCTCTTGTTTGTGTAATCTTTTTCACATTGTGAAAAATGGCTTTTTCTGTGAGTAGATGCATTTTTGATGCTCTGATTTTGTGCCATCGTCTCATTGTTTTGGGGAACCATTATTTAATTTTTTGTTTAATTTTTTGCATTCATCATGATTTATCCCTTAAATTTTCATTGTAATATTCAGGTTTTACCAGATTTCAGAACTTGAGTCATAGAAATAAACATCCACATTCATCCCCTGCAGATTGGTCTAGAGGGTGGTGTGGATAAAACACAAACTAAATAACATTCAATTGTCTGAGAGTCATTTTTCTGTTCTTCAGTGAATTTTCAGTGAAGTCCTTTTTGCTTTTACTTTCTCTTAATTAAAATTTCCTCAAAGTTACTGTACTTTTATCTAAACAGAATACTTTAGGACCCTTTCCACCCTGCTGTGGAGTACATTGGAGTCAACCAACTACAACACACTCCATCACACACACTGTCTTTATTCAGACGGAACATAGCTTAAAAACACTGTCTTTTTTCACAAATACACTCAGCGTATCTGTGTGTAACAAACACCAACTTTCAGGGTGTATTAACTTTAATAACACTCTTTGTTGTCCGTCTGACAAGGTTTTATTGTCTGTTAATTCTTGACTACAGTCCAAAGTTCAAAACTGCTCTGTCATCACGTATAATAACAGAAGATTAACTCAGAGGATTTATGCTGTATGTGAATGATCTGACCTGCTCTCAGTTAGTTTGGTCTTCCTCTGGTTGGTTTGCTGTTTGAAGCTGCTTATTCATTTCACCGTCCCAAGGTAACGTAACACACATCTTAAACTTGTTTGTGTTAAACTGGTCAGAGGACAGATGGTGGTGGGGATGTGGTGTTAGTGACTGCATTGGTAGAACAGACCCTAGACCTCAAGAAACAAGATCTTTGTTGAAAGTCCATGTTGTCTCATTTAGTCATATTTTTGTGACTAAATGAGACAACATGTGGATGTCCGAAAGGGACAACACAGAATTATGTGCAACTGTGAAGCTCTTTCTGGTACCATCTGTTTTTTACTTCTCAAGCCAGATCTGTTACAAATTTCATAGTGTATTTCCATCTTACAGCGGAGCTAGCTAGCAAAGAGCAGCTCCTTCAGGTGAAAAAAAAAACCTCTAACAGCACAACCTTTATGAGCAGAGACCCTAGGAATAATTGAAGGCTGGGTGATTATTAAAAAAAACAAAACTTAACTAAGGTCACATGAACAGAATTTTTGTTGATATTCCATTGCAGTGATCTTTTTTTTTTCTCATAGTCACTGAAAAGTTTGATGTGGCAGTGCTACATGAGCACTATTACACCAACTTCCAGCAGAGAGTAAATATCCCATCCTCTATGTGGTTTTCAGTGCCTGCATTAGTGAACTGTTTTTGGTAATGCTCCAAATGATTGTATAAAGGCTGTAAACTTGGTATCAGAAAGTGTTTGTGCTGGGAAGTGTTATTATTCAGCTGGTTTTTATGACAGACTGAAGGTCATTTATTCAATAACTTAAATTAGATTTAACTACAAGTATGATTAGATCACTCTCCACTGTAAAACCAGTATTTAAGTTGATGCTCTAAAATCCTTATCAAAGTGATCAGAGGAGAAAAGTTAAAGGAAGAAAATATGAAGAAATGTGAAAAATCTCACACAGTGTGTTCTTCTTGTATCAAACAGAACTTTGCCATCACTGTTTATATTCTCAAGTATGAGTGGCGGGGAATTTTGTTATTCAGTTGGTTTTATGACAGACTAAAGGTCAGATAGTAGATTCAACCGCCAGAATGAATAATGTCACCCACTCTCTATTGTAAAACCAGAATCATTTCTCGAAAATTAATGGTCAAAAAAATTTTTTTTAACCTTCAATTTTATAACCACATTGAGAGGTGCAGTTACACTATAAAAAATCTCCTTATTTCATTTAAATTAATTAGATACAAAATACAAGATATTAAATTAATTAAAAAATAACAGTTTGAAGTATTTTTACTACAGCATGACCAGATTGTTTTCATTTTTAACTTACTCACTGGTATTTGCTCATGGAGTGTTCTTCATACGAGTTAATATAAATGTGTGTGATCAAATTTGAAGTAATCAAGTAAGAAAGTATTTATAACTTGTGCTCTAAAAGTCGTATATGCAGAATATTTATTCGAAACGTTATAGCAAACAATTAGCCCAGGGTTACATTGGTAATTGTTTAGCTCAGGAACTTTTAGATTTTGGTAAAAATTACCATCTTTCCTAATCTTTGCGACATAAAGTTTGTTGTACTGAATGAAAATGTGTTTTTGTAAAGGCTCTGGTATGAATCAGTGTGGGGACAGAGAGGAGGGAGCCGCTTCCTCTAAAACCAGTCTGTGGGGAGAACATGAAGGCCAAACCACAGCTCAGAGGTAAGATCAGGATCTCAGTCTATGACTCTTCAGCACTCACAGCACTACATTATCCACACTAAGACCTTTGTTTGTTCATCTGTGCCAAAGACAACGGCAACAGTATCCACCAGACTTTGCTGGACCTGAAACTCGGCCTGAGCCTGGATCTCAAGCAGGACCTGGGAGACGGTTGTCTGTGAAGACACTACAGTTGATGTTTGATTCCTTTCAGTTTAAACATGAACAACAGTCCACAGCTGACATGTAAGAAAACAAAAAGTTTGTTTGCTGTCCTCAAACTCTCCTTAATAGTCTTAAAAGAGTTAAAAGCCTCTAAACAACTATTAAATCACAATATTCTTCAACATGAAGGGGGCTCTTTAACTTTTTCAGTTTTTGTTATCCTTTTAGTGGTAAACATCAGATAAAAGAATCTGCCAGACCTGGACCTGGACCTGGTTCCATCTATGTGCCCCCTAAGAGTGACCAGTCTGTGACACAATCTCTTAAAAGTGGGCTCGTGCTCGACTATGATGAGTAATAATCTGTGTTTTTATCATTCTAAATGTATATAAAAAGGTTAAAGTAAGTAGTAAATTTCAAGACATTGTCATGTGGATAGGTTACAATGTTCTTGTATATCAATCTGTGTTTTATTTTTCCGTCAGTGTCCAATCTAAGAGATCATACTCTCCTGAATCTGTACCTAGCTTTGTGTCCCTAAAGAGTGACTGGTCTATGAGGCGCCCTCTTGCATTTAAAAGTGGACATCAGATCGACCTGGATAAGTAATAATATGTGTTTTAATTATGATAACTGTATTAAAAAGGTTATAGTAAATTTCATGACACTGTCACCTGAATGATTTTCAGTGTTCATGTTTATTAATCAGTGTACATTGTTTCTTGCAGGGCCAAATCCAAGAGATCATATTCTACTGAATCATTGCACAGCCGTTTATCCCTAAACAGTGACTGGTCTATGAGGCGACCTCTTGCATTCACAGATGAGAGGATTTCTCATCATTTAAGGTAAAAAATGAGAAATTTTAATGACTCTTTTTGTGAAACTTTACAAATTCACCTCACTTTTTGTTAGTGTACTATCTATGAAGGTGAAGATTTTTCAGTGTTTTTGTGTTTGTCTGGGTCTAACAGCACTAAACAGTATTTGACCCTAGAAAATCTCCTCATTATGCATCGTCATGTTTGTAGGAGGACCCAGCAGTGTTTTTGTTTTGCTACCAGGAAAAACTAGATAGAATCTATCACGTGTAACACTGAGTGTCATACAATTACATATACTATACACTTTTTTCCCCCAGAGTCCAGCAGAAGAGATCAGAGGCTCTCAAAGGCCAGCCTGCTCAGCATCACCAGACACAGCTGGACTCCATATTTATAGTGAGTAAATGTACAAAAACAGCTGTTATTGATAATGTATGACACATTGCACTTAATGGATGAAAAAAGGTAAAGTGTCTGATTTTCTTGTAATTATGAGATCCTGATCTCGTAACTACGTAAAAAGATCTTCTAATTATGAGATAGGATAAAGAAAAAGGAAAGGTCTGTGAATCCCCTTTAGTGGCAATGATGGCACCATTGCAGTGGTAATCTGCTCGTACCCTCTCAGTTTAGGACACCAGGAAATATTAAAGTTTCTTAAAAACAAGGATGGCATAATATTAATATAGCAGTGACTCTACAGTAATGTTTTTGTTGAAATGTTTAAGTCTTCTGTGTTTTCTGACTGTCCGTGAATGTGTATGGCACAGGCATGTATGTGGTTGGATTAGAGAGTCACAGGGCGAGGTGAGTGAGAGAGACAGGGGTGCAGTGCCTGTTTGTGTGTACGTATGTGAGTGGGGAGCTGAGAGATAGTGAGAGTGGTCAGATAAATTAGTTGTTTTGGTGTGGTTAAGTGTGACTCTTGTAATAAAACAAAGTTTTTTTGGACCAACTCATTCTTTCATCATCCTTTTCAATATGTCCGGTTGGACACCACAGTATGTCAATTTTTTAATTTACTCATTACACACAGTGAATGCAATGCACTTCTGTATGAATTTACCTTTTCATTGATGGGCAGTTAGTGGTTTTGAGTGAAGCAATGGTCAATGTGGCACCTTTCCTCATCTCAATTGAGGGAACTTTTCTCGTAATTACAAGAAAAGACCTCATTATTTGCCATTATGTCATGAGCAGAGACTGGTCAGGAGTGTTTAGGGGGTTGTATGCATTTTTAAAAACTCGTGAAACTGGTAAAAATATTTATTTTATATTGTATTTAATTTCTAATACCTACATTTCTCTCAGGTATGATAACTCCAACTAGGAAATTCCCTCTGGGAAAATTTGAAAGGGCCACGGGGCCACTGCCGGTGTGTTTTCATTATGATGAGATTCTTTAGAGATTTTAAATAATTAATACTAGGAGCATTGTGATACAATATACAAGGAACACACTTACAACAAGCATTACAAACATTCCTTTTACATGTCTTTATTATTAGTAAAAAAATAAATGAAAAATGGACCCTGAGCAGTAGATGTTTGAGAAACTCCTACAACCTACTATTTCTTTTTTTGGCTTGTCCCATTGACTTCAGTGCAAAATTTTCTGCAGTTTCCAATGACTTACATCATGAAAAATTCATATACAACAGAGAAAAGTAATAGCACACCAACTTTGATCAAACCACTCAATTTTTAAGTATTATTTGTCCTACAACTCTTCAAGCTGTAGGACTAGTAACAAATAAAAATTTGTCCGGAAGAGGAAAAAGAAAAAATATACAACATAACAATAGTGACCAATAAGTCTGTCACAAGTTGGCATTTACATTCTGTTCTGTTCCAGTTGCTCCAGGAGAATATTTTCAGTTTTGTAAAGGATGAGCTGAAGAGGATCCAGAGATTTCTGGGTCAAGATTTCCCAGAATGCTTAGAGAGCCAGTACAAGGATGAGGATCAGGAGCAGAGGAGGAGCAGAGATGCATTTCTGAAGATCACTCTGCACTTCCTGAGGAAAATGAAGCAGGAGGAGCTAGCTGACAGTCTGCAGAGCAGTAAGATGATCTGAACAGATTTAATATGATGGAAAGAGAAAATGGTTAAAATCCTGCTGTCAATATGGTGCTTAGATTTGTGTCCCATGGAAAACTGTAAATAACTGACTGACTGTTATTCATTGTGTTTCTTTTTCTTCATTCAGGATCTGCTGCTGCGGAGTGCCAAAACAAACTGAAGTCTAACCTGAAGGAGAAGTTTCAATGTGTCTTTGAGGGGATTGCTAAAGCAGGAAACCCAACCCTTCTGAACCAGATCTACACAGAGCTCTACATCACAGAGGGTGAGACTGGAGAGATCAACCATGAACATGAGGTCAGACAGATAGAAACAGTGTCCAGGAAACCAGACAGACCAGAAACAATCATCAGACTAGAAGACATCTTTAGAGGCTCACCTGGAAGACAGGAACCAATCAGAACAGTGATGACAAAGGGAGTGGCTGGCATTGGGAAAACTGTCTTGACACAGAAGTGGACTCTAGACTGGGCTGAAGACATAGCCAACCAGGACATCCACTTCACATTTCCATTCACCTTCAGAGAGCTGAATGTGCTGAAAGAGAAAAAGTTCAGTTTGCTAGAGCTCGTTCATCACTTCTTTACTGAAACCAAAGAAGCAGGAATCTGTAACTTTGAACACTCCAAGGTTGTGTTCATCCTTGATGGTCTGGATGAGTGCCGACTTCCTCTGGACTTCAACAACAATGAGATCCTGACTGATGTTGCAGAGTCCACCTCAGTGGATGTGCTGCTGACAAACCTCATCAGGGGAAACCTACTTCCCTCTGCTCGCCTTTGGATAACCACACGACCTGCAGCAGCCAGTCAGATCCCTCCTGAGTGTGTTGATATGGTGACAGAGGTCAGAGGTTTCACTGACCCTCAGAAGGAAGAGTACTTCAGAAAGAGGTTCAGAGATGAAGATCAGGCCAGCAAAATCATCTCCCACATCAAGACATCCCGAAGTCTCCACATCATGTGCCACATCCCAGTCTTCTGCTGGATCACTGCTACGGTTCTGGAAGATACACTAAAGACCAGAAAGGGAGGAGAGCAGCCCAAGACCCTGACTCAGATGTACATCCACTTCCTGGTGGTTCAGTCCAAACTGAAGAACATCAAATATGATGGAGGAGCTGTGACAGATCCACACTGGAGTCTAGAGAGCAGGAGGATGATTGAGTCTCTGGGAAAGCTGGCTTTTGAGCAGCTGCAGAAAGGAAACCTGATCTTCTATGAAGCAGACCTCAGAGAGAGCGGCATAGATGTCAGAGCAGCCTCAGTGTATTCAGGAGTCTTCACACAGGTCTTTAGAGAGGAGAGAGGACTGTACCAGGACAAGGTGTTCTGCTTTGTCCATCTGAGTGTCCAGGAGTTTTTGGCTGCTCTTCATGTCCATCTGACCTTCACCATCTCTGGAGTCAACCTGATGGAAGAAGAAAGAACATCATCCTTGATCTCTACAATCGTTGGTGTCAAACAAAAATTGAAACATCTCCATCAGAGTGCTGTGGACAAGGCCTTACACAGTCCAACCGGACACCTGGATTTGTTCCTCCGGTTCTTCCTTGGTCTTTCTCTGCAGACCAATCAGGATCTCCTTAGAGGTCTACTGACACAGACAGAAAGTAACTTTCAAACCAATCAGGAAACAGTCGAGTACATCAAGAAGAAGATCAGCAAGAATCTGTCTGCAGAAAAAAGCATCAATCTGTTCCACTGCCTCAATGAACTGAATGATCATTCTCTAGTGGAGGAGATCCAGCATTCCCTGAAGTCTGGATGTCTCTCCACAGAGAAGCTGTCTCCTGCTCAGTGGTCAGCTCTGGTCTTCATCTTACTGTCATCAGAAAAAGATCTGGATGTGTTTGACCTCAAGAAATACTCTGCTTCAGACGAGGCTCTTCTGAGGCTGCTGCCAGTGGTCAAAGCCTCCAAAAAAGCTCTGTAAGTGGTTGTGTTAGAATTTTCCTAAGTATGTTCTCATGATCATTTTTGTCCATTCTCATTACATTAAATTCTCCAGACTTCACAGCTGTAACCTCTCAAAAAGAAGCTGTGAGGCTCTATCCTTAGTCCTCAGCTCCCAGTCCTCCAGTCTGAGAGAACTGGACCTAAGTAACAACTACCTGCAGGATTCAGGAGTGAAGCTGCTGTCTGCTGGACTGAAGAGTCCACACTGTAACATGGAAATTCTCAGGTCAGGTTTTCTGCTGTTTTTTGATTACTTGAATGAAATTGTTCAAAATTGTTACAGTTTGGCTTATCGCACGATTTATTTCCTGACTCCAGTCTGTCAGGATGTCTGATTACAGAGGAAGGCTGTGCTTCTCTGGCCTCAGCCCTGAGCTCTAACCCCTCCCACCTGAAAGAGCTGGACCTGAGCTATAATCATCTAGGAGACTCAGGGGTAAAGCTGCTCTCTGCTGGACTGAAGGACCCACACTGGCGACTTGATACACTAAGGTATAACCAAACACCCAAAGGTCAGCTGCGAAAGGTGCAAGGACCCTCCTCTCTGTACATCACAAACTTGCAGTAAATCACTTGTACAAGCTGTAATACTTATGTTCTCTCTTCTGTAGTCTACTCTGAATTATCCAATGAGACCATATCTATTGATATGACACACACATCAGTAAATATCTGTAAATATGAGGAGTTTCATTTAATTATTCATTCATATAAGGAATGAAAGACTCTGCTACTTAAAATCTCTATCTGCAATCAGTGTTTATGTTTAGAGTACATTTATGTGGTATCTATCCTGAAGTATGTCTCAAACATAAGTCCTAAAAATGTCATGGGTGTCTTTTTGGAGGGTATCAAGAGAAACTCTCCATGTTGTAGGTTCAGCCAACAGCCTTTGCTTTTTCAGTATTATTTCCCCAAAGGATCTCAACACTGTCAGAAAAAGTGACTAAGTGATGGAGACTGTTGGCTCAGATGAGTTTCAGCCCGTTTCTCTGTCATAGGGACAAACTGAGGAACTCTGCTCCATGTTGAACAACAGGTAAGACTCATGTTGGACAGAAAACCATTCTGACTGTGTTTCTTCTTCCAGGGTGGACCATGGTGGAAAGCAGTGGTTAAAACCTGGTGTGAAGAAGTGTAAGTGGGAATCAGATTGACTCATGATGAGCAAACTGTCAGCTATCAATGAATAAATGTGTGTCTGAGGATAACCTGCTGCTGTGTTGTGTCTTTTCCTCTCCTACAGATTTCTGTGAACTCACACTGGACCCAAATACAGCAAACGGAGAGCTCAGACTGTCTGAAAACAACAGGAAGGTGATAAATGTTGGGGAGAAGCAGTCATATATGGATCATCCAGACAGATTTGACTCCTGTCCTCAGCTTCTGGGTAGAGATGGTCTGAATGATCGCTGTTACTGGGAGGTCAAGTGGGATGGATGGGTTGATATAGCAGTGAGTTACAGAGGGATCAAGAGGAAAGGAAACAGTCCTGACTGTATGTTTGGATATAATGATCATTCCTGGAGTCTAATCTGCCATGATGGTGTAGGTTACTCTGTCCGTCACAACAATAGAGGAACAGACCTCCATCTCCCCTTGTCCTCTGTCTCTGACAGAGTAGCAGTGTATGTGGATTGTCCAGGGGGCACTCTGTCCTTCTACAGCATCTGGTCTGACACACTGATCCACCTCCACACTTTCAGCACCACATTCACTGCACCTCTTTACCCTGGGTTTTGGTTGAGGTCTGGTTCCTCAGTGTATTTGTGTTCTCTGTAGGAGGGTAAGTCTCCTTCCCTGCACAAACACCACAAACACAAACAGCTGCGCAGTTACAGTTAACTCTCTGCACTTATTCACAACTTCAACAGATTATTTTTACTGGCTCATTTTTTACTTTAAAAAAACTTCTTAAGTCTATTGATAAGAAACTTTGTGAGAAAAATCAATGTCAGATTCAATTAAGTGTCCTCAACCTGCAGAGATGTTCATACCTGTGTGTAAACTGATGAATCTCATAACCTCAGGAGACTATAGGGCTTGATGCACATGCACATTTACCACTCAGAAGCTTATGAAGAAGTAAGAAGTGACATCATCAAAATCTTTAGCCAGAGGATCAGGATCCAAACAAGAAAGAAACTGAAGGAGGGAGCAGCACACAAGTTCATACACGATATGAAGGCTAAAAATACAGTTATAGAAGGTACTATTAATTGTTACTCTGTTCAAACATGTGAAATTTGTGCAGTCAATGAGCTTATTGGAAATTAAATGAGAGCTTTCTCCTGAAGGAGTTGGTTAGCACTTCCTCAATAATGTCTAAATCATTCATTTTTATCTCTGCTTGTAAATACTTTTCATAGACCTGTTATATGTTTGTTTTTAATACACTAATATCACTCACCTTATTCAGCCTATCAAAGATTATGTTTAGTTTTAGTAGCTGTCCTGTATTTTAGAGTACTGCATTGACTTGATGTATAGTTTGAATTTGTTTTAAAAATGGTTCTTAAAGAATTTACAAATATGTGATTTTAATAGTAATAAAATCGGGTTGATGATAACATATCAATTTGTCCTATAAGACAAGTGTTTTAAAACCAGTACTGCATCAGTTACTGCTTATTACTATAGTGTCCCCATTACAGAAGTTTCCATGAGCCTCTCTCCAGCAGTCCTATCTAATGATGGTACTGGTAGCACATGAACATGTCCTGTTGTCACCAGGTAGTAAAACCTCCAGCCACGGTGACTGGTGAGCGGAATAACTTATTGTCAAGCTCTATGTATCATTTTATAGGATCTTCTGTCCTCTGTTAACTATGTTTGTAGCACCTCCAAGAAAAGGTGTGAGGCACAAGGTTATAATTAAAAATCTGGGTTCAATCCAACCAAACCAACCAGGGAGAACTTGGTTAAAGAGATAAATAATAAAGAACAAATTAATGAAATGTATGTTTGATTGTCTTTTATTTACATCAGCGCTTGATGCTCCCCTTGGTTTTTTTTAACACTCTGAATATCGCAGTTAAATGTTAAATATTTCGAAGCATACTAGTAGCTTGCCTTTAAGTTGCTAAATCACTTGGAAAATGTTTGCACTCAGGTTTTTAATTGTAATGTTTGCCCTCCACCAAGTTACTATGAAATAAACATTTCAACAAACATACCTGGTTGGCTGCCTTTCTTCAATGTGGGTGCTGAGTCTTCCTTATTTGGTCTCATATTCTTCTTTGTTTTTTTCTGCTTACATGTTTATTACTTTGCATAGATTAAGCTGTTTTCTCTCCTGCCCTGTTTTGGTTTTCTCTCACCAGGTCTGTGTTTTGTTTAAGTCCGGGCTGAACATACATGTGGTGGTAATTAGTTCAGATGACAAACAAATCGAAATTAAACTGCTATTGGGAGGCAATGACAGTGTTAATGTCTATATTTTAAACAGATTTTTAATTTAAGTGGCAATTTTTTTTCTTCTCATAAAGCTGTTTTACCAAATATTGTCATGAAATAAGTTTAAAATGCCAGTAATAGCGAAAAGAAAAGAAAAGAAAAGAACTGTGATGAATTACAGACCTGGACAGTGCAGGAGTCTGTAAGCTCCAGTAGGTGGCGGTGATGCGCTGTGATGGATACAGGCTCCTATGAACACCGTAGAAGAAGAACTCACAGAACAGAGAGCAGCTTCAGCAGGAGCCGGTGGCCGTGATCTCTTCTCCCTGATTTCCACCTAAATTATCAAAACGTCTTACGCAATGAGGTAATAATATCAATGTGAACGATTTATACTACATTTTATTATTTAGTTTAATTCTGATTGAAGTTTGGTCTTTATATGTCAGGTTTTGTGGTAGGTATGTAGCTGGGGGTGCTCGGTGGTTGTTAGCATGAAGCTAACCGTGTGTGTTATGAGGATGTAAATCTGTTAATGTCAATGTGTCTGTATTAAAATCTGTTTTAGTTAATACACTAAAATCGTATAAATGCGTTACTTTAACCATGTAAATATGCTCTAAAGATGGTGGGTAAGTTAGCCAGCTAGCCCAACAGATGAATGAATGCAGTGTGTGTGTGTGTGTGTGTGTGTGTGTGTGTGTGTGTGTGTGTGTGTGTGTGTGTGTGTGTCCTGACCTGTTTCCTGTGTTTGTCTCCAGAGGGGACCGCGGCAGGGGTCGGGGAGGCCGCTTCGGGTCCCGAGGAGGACTGGTTCAGGGGTAAGTGGATCCACCTGTTTACCTGTGTTCATCTCACCTGTGTGACATCATTCTGAGGGTCATACAGTGAAGAAAAACTACAGAGGAGACCTGATCGATCTCTGATCTGTGATCAATAATATGTGGCAGGAGCAGATTTCATTGTAACTACTTGAGCCTATAGAGGACAAAATAAGCAACATCTGCTTTGTTTACAGGAGGAGCTGAAATGATCACACACTGAAAGTTCCCTACTAGAGCTTTAATTTATCCTCTCCACACTGTTTCACTTCTGGTGGAAACAATGTAATAAAATTAAATGTGTCAACTAAACTGATTTTGTTTGTATTAAATGCTACGCTCCATATAAACACCAATAATTTTCAATCTTTACTTTTTGTTTTCAAGAACAGTCCAATGATCTTCTTTTATCCCTGTTTAGGTATCGTCCCTTTGTCCCACACATCCCATTTGACTTCTATGTGGTGAGTGTAAAAAGACAGAACAGTGCTTAAATATGGAATATAATAATGTCTTAGCAGAGAGATGGCCTTTGACTTGCTGGAAAGCAGTGTTTATTATGTTTTTTCTAACCATTATCAGTCCTGGATGTAGTTCATGTAGTCAGAGGGTTTCTCTGTTTCACTCAGTTATAACCTCATCAAGAGAGGATGTCAGTGGGTTCATAAACTCAAACCTGTCCAAATCTCAGGGAGGTTGTAAAAAAGGAAATTTAGATTCAGTGTTTTTAAACTGATCCATTACATTGTTATCTTCAAAGTCAGGTGTTTGTACAGACACAGGAGTTTCTGATAAACTGCTAATTCAGTCTGTTAGTTTGATGGTGCTTTTATCTGAATTTAACATGTTCGGTTTGGATCAAATCCCAAACTTAAGCAACTCAAAATGACCCAGTCAAGCTGATATTAATATCTGAGAGATATGGGAAAGTAAGAGACACCAGGCTCTTTTTAAAAACTGCAGAATTACCTGTTTGAGGAGACGACTCATGATTCAGTTTTGGCTCACTCTGACTTTTGTTCATGACAGTGTGAGATGGCGTTCCCCAGAGTGAAGCCTGCGCCTGATGAGACGGCCTTCAGTGAGTGTCTGCTGAAGAGAAACCAGGACCTGAGCCCCACACCTGCAGAGCAGGTGAGTCCACTAACAGTCAGCAGCAATCAGGGTAATTTTTCCTGTCTCTGACTGAAACCATGTTTGTTTCTCTCTCCTTCTCCCAGTCCTCCATCTTGTCTCTGGTCACAAAGATCAATAACGTCATTGATAACCTGATCGTCGCTCCAGGAAACTTTGAAGTGGTGAGGAGTTATTTTTCTCTGTTTTATTGAACATCATGAATAACTCAGTGATGTGGAGTCTTCAATGTTTGTCATTTAAAATATCACAACAAGCTGGATTTAATGTTGTATTCATATAAAACTAACTTTAACAGTCTCTGAGTTCAGCAGTAAGAACAGAGCAGTGAGAGGTTCTAACAGCACATGAAACAGACTGAGATTTGTAAGGATGAGCTGCTGACACAAACAAGACTAGCAGTGACCATATAGACTACTTCCTTACTGTTTATATTGTCAAAATCAACTCTCATGAAAGTTTCCTCACAGGAGCTTTAGCTTTGAGCACACACAACTCTAAAGTTGAGCCTTTTTTCCCTTCACAGCAAATCGAAGAGGTGCGTCAGGTGGGCTCCTACAAGAAAGGCACCATGACGACAGGACACAACGTCGCAGACCTGGTTGTGATCCTGAAGATCCTCCCCACACGTGAGTGACTCGCTTTGATCTTGTGTTCAAAAATTAGAAAGCCACAGAGGAAATACGAACAAATAACATATTGGATTAACCTTTTCTGACCTGACTCTAATACCATGACCTCATGTATGATAGTTTGTTTTTTTTACTAAAGCATTTTTAAGAAGAAGTGCCTATATGATGGGTCACCCTATTTCCACAAGTAATATGTTAAATTTCCTGTGATACAGTAAAGAGGAAATCAAAGTTTTACGCCCAACTCTGACCATGTGGATCAGGTCTTCAGATCTATAAAAATCCTAACTAGTCAGGACTCTGATCAGATCCCTCATGGTCTAACTCTGTAACTTTTGTCCTTTCTACAGTGGAGGCCGTTGCTGCTTTGGGCAACAAAGTGGTGGAGACTCTTCGAACACAAGATCCGACTGAAGGTAACGAAGTCAGGGACTAATTTAATTTCCTGATAAATCACAGAGACACTTTGATTTCTCAACTTCAGCTTTAAGTTTAACAGGAAAGTTCTTAAACGACAAACTGGGATCAGATAATGCTCCGGGTCTTTCATGAAATAATTATTATTATATGTATAAAAAATGAAGCTGTGTCTTCATTAAATAAGTTTATTTTTAGAGTGTTTAGAGGGAACGTTATCCTCCTTCATTGTGAGCTTGACTCTGTGAATCTGCTGTTTTCAGTTCTCTCCATGCTGACCAATGAGACAGGCTTTGAGATCAGCTCAGCGGATGCCACCGTGAAGATCCTCATCACCACCGTCCCCCCAAACCTGCGCAAGCTGGACCCCGAGCTGCACCGTAAGAGCTCACACACTTTTACACAATGAAGACGTAAATGACGAGAAGAGCTCCACATGTTCCACACATACATATTTACTGTAAAAAGAAAAAAACACTAAGAAATGTCAGAGCAAAGTGGAAAACTGAAATAACCTGACGCCTGCAGTGTCATTAGAGAAAGATCAACCCTGCTGCCTCGGTGATTTGTGGGTATGCTCAAGTAAAACTAGTTCAACTACATGAGATTTAACATGAATCCAGAAACGTCACACTTTGTTGCATCGACACAAGCGCTTAGTTTTGAGGTCTGACACTCGGATTGGAAAATGTCAGTAAATGTGATCAAAGTTCAAATCCTGGTGACAGTAAATGATTAACTTGATATTTAAGTCCATGATCAAACCAAGACTGTAGATTTAGTGGAAAAAAAGACTCCTGTCCTCTTGTTGTGATCCAGACAGGGATGAATGTGGTTAATTCTGTCTTTGTTGTGTCTTCAGTGGACATCAAGGTCCTGCAGAGCGCCCTCGCCGCCATCCGTCACGCCCGCTGGTTTGAGGAAAACGCCTCTCAGTCAACGTGAGGAAGATTCTTTTACCTTTTACACACCTGAGCTGTATTGAGATGTTGTTCCTGAACAGCCCAGATCATTTAGACGTGTGTGAACAAAACGAGCGGTTATGCAGTTATAACCGTAATCCAACACTGAGGAGATTTTTAACTCATTTAACGCTCTGCTTTTTAACAATGACAATCACTGACACATTCAGCGGAGAGTCACTGTGTAATGCTGAATTCCCATGATGTAAAGTGACCAATGAATGTGGCTGTAGCTCCCCTGTGTGTTGGGAAATGAGTCTGTTCCAGGAGGATTTAAGGACAGTCCTGTGATGGTCTGGGTTTTGTCTGCTCTAAATTGCTGCAGAGTGAAAACTAGATAAAACACTGAAAGTGAAATAACAAAATAACACAGACCAGTACTCGTGCACAAACACCACTCTGCTCGGAACTCATTCGAATTTCTCAATCCTGTTCAGGGTCAAAGTGCTGATCCGTCTGCTTAAAGACCTGAGGCTGCGGTTCCCTGGATTTGAACCCCTCACTCCCTGGATCCTGGACCTGCTGGTGAGACCTGGAGTCTGCAGCGTCACACTCAGACCTGTCCCTGTGTGTCCCCCCTGATCCTTAAAGGGTTAAACTTTTATACGGTGTGTTTCAGGGTCACTTTGCGGTGATGAACAACCCGTCCAGACAGCCTCTGTCCCTGAACGTGGCGTACAGACGCTGCCTGCAGATGCTGGCTGCCGGTCTCTTCCTGCCTGGCTCTGTGGGAATCACTGACCCCTGTGAGAGCGGGAACTTCAGAGTGCACACGGTCATGACTCTGGAACAGCAGGTAGGTCTGACCCAAACACCTTCACTGCAGGAGCCGGTTCATGAGACATCAGGTTGAGTTTGCAGCGATGGAAGCCTCGCAGTCAGGAGCCAGTGTGATCAGCAGCTTCAAATTCATGAAAGTGTCACAGCCAGCGTGAGAACGAAGCTGCTTTAGACACGTGATATGAAAGGAGGAGAAATGAACGGACTAGGACAGAAAATAGAGACAGTCATCATTTATAGGACACCTGAGAACTGCAGTAGCAAAACTAAAAGCTCTTATTGAATCTGTGTGTGTTTGCAGGACATGGTGTGTTTCACAGCTCAGACTCTGGTCCGGGTTCTCTCCCATGGAGGTTACAGGAAGATCCTCGGCCTGGAGGGAGACGCCAGCTGTAAGACAATCTAATATTTCAATATGAGTGATTATATACCGGTTAACAACATCTGTGACACTCCTGCTATAGCTCCAGGTCCCCTCTGGAACCCCTCTGTATTTAGAAACCTTCACCTGTTGTGGTTTTTGTGTCAGACCTGGCGACAGAGATGTCCACGTGGGACGGCGTGATCGTCACTCCATCAGAGAAAGCCTACGAGAAACCTCCAGAGAGGAAAGAGGAGGAAGACGAGGCTCTTGAGGAGGGTGGGGACGAAGGGGACGAGAGCATGGAGACCCAGGAGTGAAGGAGACCAGCTCAGGTCAGAGCTGATAATAATGATGCAATGATGATTCTTTATTTTGATTAAATATTTAACTATATACTGAAGATGTACAAAAGCCATCAAGATTCACAGCTTGTTTGTTTTAGCGTCTTAAATGCTTGAAACTGATGTGAGGGGTGTCAGCTGAGCGGGTAAAAAAACACTCTGTTTTACACATAAAATATTTAAAAATGATTCATCTGACCATCAGAAATCTGCAGGATGGGTTATTTTTGAAGACACTACATATGCAGAGACTGATCTGACCACAGGGGGGCGCCAAAAGTAGCAAAATGAGCTTTGATTGACACTTTTATTTTAACATAGTAAAAATACTTAATTCAAAAGCTGCTTCATTGTTTATAATCGCAATTGCTCTTACAAATAAGTCCTTTTAAAGGGGTGGTCTTATGTCTTATATTTTGGTCAGTATAATGGAATAAATCAAACCTCAGCAGCAGTTTTCAACCTTAAAATTAACATCAATATGAACAAAAAGGAAGCAGTGAAGTTGTAATAATCTCATCTCTTTTAATTCTGTCATAAAAACAACAAACACCTCCAATCACAGTTTTTCAATCTTAACAGTCAAACTTTGTCCAAACCTGCCTGTTTGATGTTCACACTCACTTTGACATTAACCGACTCTTCCTGCTTTTCCTCCACAGAGTCAGTTTGAAACTTATTTAAGGAGTCGAGCCGGGATCTGCAGCAGGAGAGGACCGGCCTCGTTTTTTCTGACACTTTTTATTCTTTACTTTTTTTTCTGTAACTGTGACGTCGATATTAAACTTTTTTTTTTTTTAAGTTATCCTGAGACATCGTCATTTGTATCAGAAATCCTCTTTAGTCCAGGCAGCAGGTCACTTCAGACAAACTGCAGGTGTGTGAAGATGTCAGGTGATGTGTTTGTGACAGAAACAATCCAGAAAAAAGGTCATTAATTTTCATTAACTCCAGTTAAACAATGATAAAGATATGTCTTATATTAGGTCATAAAATACTTCCTCTCATTATTAAAGTTGTGGTATTTAAACTAATATGTTGCTAGTCTTGGCAGAGGGATGGATTTTATAAACCCTGCAGTGATGTTAACAGCACAGCAGGGCTCATAAAATCCATGAGTTTTAGGAAGATAATCTCAGTCTAACAGAAGTTCCAACATTTTAGTAACTTGGATAAAAACTGAAACAGGAAAAATGTTGACTTCACAAACTCACTGAGTGTAAATGTTACATACACTCATTGAATTTGTTATTAAACCACATATATTTGAGCGCCTTGCTTTGTTGTGGGGGCCATTAATTTTCACACCGTTCTCGGACGCAGCACACATTCCTCTGTTTGTATCTGAGACTTCAAAATAAACAAAAATATAACTGAACTAAAAAAAAAGAAGATTCCACAAGCAAAAGGAATACCTGATGAAACTGAGTACACCTTAATGAACAGGACAAATGAGACTGAACCTGCTGAAAGAGAGAGGGGAGGAGCTTCTGTCCAACCTGGAGAGCAGGAGGGGTTACCTGGTGGTCCAGGTGTGTAAACTGTGAGTCTATCATGAACCCAGAGAGCTCCTGCTGTCAGGTATGTTTACGTTAAACTAAGATAAGTGTTTGGGTTAAATTTTTTAATTGTGTAAGAGTTGCCCTGCCTGCCAAAAACTAACTTGGCTGGTATGCAGGTTCTCTCTGCAGTTTCTCATTAAAGGGGCGGAGCTCACAGACATCCACTGAGGATAGAATACTGAGTTGAAACATGTAGTACAAACCTGCAAACTGACTGATCATGACTAATAAGCCGTGCAACACTATCATTAGCACACAGCAACCAAAAGTCTTGTGTTTGTATTGGCTGAGAGGAGTCTGACTACCTGACCTGAGGATTTCAGGAGCCTTCTGTTAAGGATTTAAGATTTTCTGAAGTTTCTGCATCCAAAGAGCTTGTAGCTAACTGAGAGGATTGGCTATCACTTGTTGAGTTTTTATTTTTTTACATCTTTCCTGTAACAGTTTGAGGTTTCACTGCAAGACTAAGAGCTGCAGGAAGACCATCATGGCTTTAACAGGTCCTCATCGAAAAGACTCCTCACTGATCAGGAGGTTCGCAAGAATGTGACCCAAGACATCATCAGTAACTGTCATTAAGTGATCAGTGTGAGACTCTGATCACAGCCCTCCCCCTCCTCTTCTTCCTCCTTCTGTGAGTCAATAATCATGGTTTCAGCTTGAGCCAGGGGTGGATCATTGTGAGGATGCCGAGGATGGAGGAACTAAGTCCACAGAGCCCCACAAACCCGGACCCTGTGGGGTAAATCCCGAGCCGGTCCAGAGGGATGAAGATGTCGCAGCTGTTCTTCAGCAGGTCCAGCAGCAGCGGCGGGTTGCTGTACAGCACCGTCACCAGCAGGTGGAGCTGTCTGCGGAGCCCCGCCAGCATGACAGGAGGAACGGTCAGAGCCACAGGTGAGGAAGAAGGGGAGGACAGCTGGTCGGCAGGCAGGGAGGCGGAGCCAGGAGAAGGGGAGGCGGGGCGTTTGGAGGCTCTGTGACGCTCCTCGCACTCGACGAGGAGGCGGAGCTCGTACAGGTCTCGAGTCAGGTTCAAGATGAGAGCGAAGAGGTAATACCTGCACAGGTGAAACACACAGACAGTAGAGAGTGAGGAGAGTTGGTTAGATTCAGATTCATCCACGTTTTGAGGTCCAAACGTCTTAGAGTTCATTTTAGCCTCATCAGCCACAGAGGAGTTCTGGTTCTAAGTCAAAGAGGTGAACACTTAAGTCACTCCCTCTCACCTGAAGGATCTCTGACTCCACTTCTTCTGGTCCAGTTCAGAGATGATCCCAGTTTTCCCCGCCCACAGGATGTTGTCACAGGCGAAGTACATGGCTCTATTCAGGTGGCTGATGGTGATGCAGAGCCTCAGCACGCTGTCCGACAGGTGGATCGCCCTCTTAGCCGACTCCAGAGCCTCCACAGAGTTCCCTAAACGCAGCACTGAGAGACAAACACAGATCAGTCCTTCAGCTCTAAGGTTCAAAATAAGACCTCAAACCTGAGCCACACTTACACTTCCTGGTCAGGCTCATGTGCGCCTCCAACTGACTAATGGTTTTACGGAGATCAGCTCCAGTGCTGCCTTTCTGCAGAGTGTATCCCAGCAGAGTGCAGGCATACTGAGCAGCCCTGAGAAAGCAGAAACACTGTGGTCATTACACTGAGCAGGAGAGAGATAAAGGAGGAGAGACAGAACCGTAAAAAAACAGAGCTAAAGAAGTAAAATATCAGGTTCGACATCACCTCACTGTCAATCTAGCTTTACCTCTGTGGATATGTTGCCTGCTGCTTCATATAGCTTCTAAAGTAATGGTATAAGTACCAGGGCCCGACCCATATGGATTTTTTGGGGCTGATACCAATAACCAATAACGATTATTGGGGGGGGGGGTCTGACTACCGATTAATCGGCCAATTTTATTAAAAAAATTTATAAAATCATAAAATACATATATACTGTAGATATCTACAGTATAGTATACTGTAGATAGCTACAGTATACATATACTGTAGATATACTGTAGGCTACTGCTCTTCATGCCGACAGGAAGACGGACTGATCAAACTCGGACTAGAAACACATTTTCAAATCCCCCCCCCCCCAGTTAGTGGATGAACATTGTCATGAGGTCACTGCGCTATCTACAGGATAAATCGGGAAACTCTTCAAATGGCGGAACATTTTCGAAGTGAAACCGAGTCTTATTCTCCGCATTTTATTTCTGAAAATATCGGCGAAAATCGCCGAGTTTTGGCCGATTACTGACTAGTCTCAAACTGGCTAAAATTGGCCGATTTAATCGATTTAACCGATTTAAACCTTTACCTAACCTATAACAATAGTAAACTCAGACAACTTTCTCTTTCTTCATTCTTTCAGCTGCAGTGAAACTCCTGACGGAGACAGACTGCACTTCTCAGTCAGAGTCAGGGTCAGACTGGATCCACCGTGGTCATGTGTGGGGTCTGACTTGAAGGTAAACACGAAACCAGAAAAAACAGGCTCCAAATAAATGTCACAAACTTCACGGCAGCTTTAAGAGAAGAATCTGTTTTTCTGAAATCAAGCAGAATCAAGAGATAACTTTATTTCGGATACAAACTTTCTACTTTGTTTTTAAGTTCTTTCAGTAATTTTAGATAATTATGTCTTCAATTAGAAACGTAAATTTTTTAAAATAATGAAACTTTTCTGTAGGTCTCACCCCTGCTGAATCTGTAATATAAAATTATATAACCTTAATATAAAAAGCCGTTAAAACTGTGTAAATAGAGTAACTGTCAGTTTAAAGACATTAATCTGAGGGTAATTCACCTGTAAAGTGAGAATAACAGGAAGAAACAGGTGACTGCTCACAGACTGTCTGAGATATACCTGTGAACTCTGGCTTCAGCATAAACCGGTCTGAAGTTAGTACAGGTGTTGAGTTTACCTGATAATCCTCTCCTTGGCCTGACTCTGAGAGTTAAACCGAACCCAGGAGTCCATTCTTCTTCTTCTTCCTCAGATCACGTTAGCAGCTGTTTTCAACGAGCTGTAACCTGTAAGTCACGCCTGACTGCGAATTATCAACAAGTTAAATAGTACGTTGGTAACGGGAATATCAAGTTGTTGAAAATTCAGCAGTTTGAGAGGAGTTTCTGTTATAAAAATCTGTTTATAACCGCCCTCCCCAAACATGCAGCTGAGTCTTCTTCGTTTACTTCTTCATGTTTAACGCAGTTAGAAAATCAGCTGATCTCTCAACACCGCCACCAGCTGGTGTGGAGGACTTATGGAACTGTTTGGAGAGATACGGTCCTTATTTAACCTTTAACAGAGCAGGGAGGGCAGCATCCGCGATTTCCAGAGAGAATGACAGTTTTTGATCCATCTGCCCACTGGACAGTTTTCCTCTTCCCCTCAGTCCACTTTAACAGGTTCAGATCTATAGAAGTCTCTGGTGTTTCTGGATGCTGTTTCTGTTCCTAGTGTCATCTTTGCATGGTTCAATCAAATCAATCAATCAAATTTTATTTATATAGCGCCAATTCACAACAGTCGTCATCCCAAGAAGCTTTTCAAAGAACAACAGCAGGTCTGGACCATGCTCATTGTTTGATGAATTATCAAGACCCAACCTAAGATGGGATTTGGACCATCTCATCTGTCATGAGTAACAGTGGCAAGAAAAAAAAACTCCCTTTTACAGGATGAAACTTTGAGGAGGACCAGACTCATGCTAGACAGCCACCAAGCTGCTGCTGGGTTGGGGAGGAATACAGAGAGATAGAGGGAGAGAGGGAGAGAGAGGGAGAATGAGTCAGGGAGAGAGAGTAGAGAACGAGGGTGAGAGAGAGAGACAGGGGACAGCAGCAACATTAAAACAACAGCAACAACAACAACAGCAGCTCATGTAATGGTGAACCAAAATGAATTCAGTTTACAGGGTTAGGATATGAGTAATTATGGACAATGTTCTTGTTGAATTGGAGTCATGGGATTCAGCCACAAATACCTTTTTTCCGGTTGTTGCAGTTTCAAGGCCGCATTTAGACAAAGTCGCGTCCCCCAGTGGACTAAATCTGAAACTGGTGAGTGAAGTAAAATAGAGTCTCCTGCTTTAGCATCTGTGCATCAACAGTGAGTTTGAATATGACAGTGCCATAGGTTTATTTCATTTTCATGTACAGTCAACATTACAAGAGCAGCACATTTTTACAAAAAAATAACTACAAAATAAAAATAGCAATATTCTAAGGTAGCAAATTAAACTTCTCAGTTTATTTTCAGTTTAGCTTCATCATCTGGAACAGTTGATGAGATGATTTATGAGCGAGATGATTTGATGTTTTCACTGGAAAATAAAAATAACTTAATCTTGTGGACATGTGCTATTTTCTTGGACAAGATGTTACGTATCTTGTGTTTAGGGGGAAGAAGAAACCTATTATGAACATAATTATCTTACATAAACAACTTATCTTGTTTAAGAAATGTAAAATCTTAACTTGTGTGCACAGGAGGTATGATCTTGCTCACACAAACACAAAAGCTTCTGTGAACAAGTTAACAATTTCACAGGATAATAAAGAGCGAAGTTGGGCACTCAATAAAATAATCTGGTGGTAGCAAGTTATCTTGTGCAAAGTCTTGCAAGATATTTACATGTACGCACACGATTATCACAGTGAGTGCACAAGATGATTAACTTAAACCCACAAGATAATAGCTTGCACACTCTAGATAAAAACCCTTGAAGAAAATATCTTCACCAATAATAAAATTAGGGGGCTCAAGTTAATAAATCGTTCCTACAAGATCTTTACTTGCGAACTCAAGATTATTACTTCATCCCACAAGGTAATAATGTTCAGTAAAACTTCTGTTTACATTAAAACTTCTACGTTTACAGTAAAACTTCTACGTTTACAATAAAACTTCTGAGTTTACAGTAAAACTTCTAGGTTAACAGTAAAACTTCTGTTTACAGTAGAACTTGAGTTTACAGTAAAACTTCTGAGTTTACAGTAAAACAGCTGCATGAATGACAAACAGTCACCGAAATTCTTTCAGAGGCAGTTTTGTTGGTAAAATGTCGACCTCAATTATGATTGGTTAAGTTTATTCTTCTGTGTATTTGGGGTTAATATCTAATGAGTTAAAGCTGTAATTCTCATTAGTGGACCTCAAGATAAAGCCTTTGTGTTAAAGCTCTTATAAGGAACTTCGACTCGTCTAAACCCAGCAGAGGTTTGGATTTGCGTAAAATGATGTGATGCATGAGAATCATCTACCTCCAACAACATCATCTAGAGTCTGTTTTAACACTTTCTATCCATGCCAACACTTTCAAAAAGTCCTGTCAATGAGTCTTTTTTTAAGCCCAGGAGGTCCTGAACCAACATCAGCAGATTAAGTTGATTTCATTGATCAGTCAACGTTTCTCCATCATTTTGAAGTGTTTTATTACAAAGTGTTGTCAGAGTGATACATAGTGAACTGTCTCCTTCCTTTTAAAGCAAAGACTTTAAACATGCTTATGAACCAAAGGGTGGAGGAGCAGAAGCAAAACTCTTAACAAAGATTCAAACTGAATGGGTCAACATTTTTATGGAATACTGTGAACTCTTGAAGAAACAAGAAGAGGTCTGATAGAAATTTAAAAATACTTTATAAACAAATCAGAATTTTCTTTGTTTAATTCCCAAAAATAAAAATCTCTGGGTCTGTCGGTGCAGAAAAAAAAAAACAGTCTTTTTAAGTCTTTGCAGTTCAGCCTCAAATGGATAAATGTGACCTTCACTTTTAGGGATTATAGGGTTAATATGGGTTAATCAAAAATTTACAAAAAGGCCATCAACACAAACTAAAACCAAATAAATTCATATTATTTTAAGGAAACATAGAAATCATGGCATCAATCAGAGCCGTTAAAATGCATTTTTTTTGAAGGAAATCAGGCCAAAATTAAAAAGTATAATTTTAATCATTTTAAATGATTTCATGATGTCTTTTTCTGGTTCTACCGAAATTCTTAAAAAATATCGAGATTGTATTTAATGCATAGAATAAGTCCAACCGAAATGAATGAAGTCCAACCAAAGGCTAAAATCATGATTTTTTAAACATAAATTTACAGCTTTATTCTGTTGATTTGCTCATAAAACTGCATCATATATATATTTTTTTTTTTCTCTAACAGCACCCTAAAATTGTCTCCTTTTTAATTCCTGATCAAACTGACATGTCTGTTTATTTTTTTGGTACTAATAGGACACCGTACTTTTGTTTAAGCCTCAGACGGCTGTAAAACCAGGACATCTGTGAAGGAACTGAACAAACGTCAGACCATCAAACTCCTGTTTATAAGCCCACTAAAAATTGTTGAATCTTTGTTTCAGTTGTTTTGATTCTTGTGTTTTTTCTGCAAATGTTTTCCATCATGGAGGTGAAATCAGTGATTGTTAAGAGGTCAGGTGATCCTCTGATGACAATGAAAATGGTGAAAATTATGATGAAGATGTGAGAAAGCCTTTTAAACAGTTCCCTGACTGAGGGCTGAGGAGAACAGATAAATATGACATCTATTAGTGTCGTCTATGCTAAGGTTAAAATAGTGCCAAGCGTTCATATTTTACACTCACAAAGACTAAGGCAATAAATAACTGTAACATCAGGTAACGTGAGTGTGTGTTCATATTTCTGTCTCTGACACACGGTGAGATCATCACAGATACCTGAGGGAAACACAGAAAACCATCAACAACCACGACATGAATCTTCGTGTGAACAGACACGCTCCGTGTCCGCCGCACAGTCCAGTGTTGGTGCATCTACTGTCGACAACAAAAGGCACAAATATCACTAAATGCATAAATGTTCATGAAGTTTGTAAAGCAGCTGAACCACAAGTTTAACTGACAGTGAAACATCCTGACTCCAAACACACAAACCCGTAATACGATTACCCTCGTCTGGATTTAAATCAAAGTATCAACCAGAGCAGCACCGACGAGTGTGGAGAGGAAAAGACGGGACCCAGTATAACAAACAAGTCTGCTGAGGCTCAGAAACTACAGGAAGAAATATACAAACTCAGTTCCATCATAGCTGTGGCTCTGTAGGTTTATGAGGACAGACTGTGATGGTTTATAAACCAGTTCAAGTCAATAATCAATCAAAAACAGCACAAAGACGACCTATCCAACTGTCTAATTAAAAAATCTGCTCAGAGAAACAACAAACGGGTTAAAGGACATTCAGAGAGGCTGAGAGATGGGAAGAGGATCATGACTTTGTGAGAGACTGAGCTAATAGTTTAACAGTTTCTGAATAATGTTCCTGAGTGTCAAATGTGAAGGAATGAATGGATTTCATCATCTACAGAACATAATATCATTCAAAGATTTAGAGAATCTGGAGAAATTTGTGTACAAAGGGATAAGGACCAAAACCAAGACTGGGTGGTCCTGATCTTCAGGCCCTCAGTCAGCTCTGCATTAAAAACAGACAGGACTCTGGAGTGGAAATCACTGCATGAACTCAGTCAACTCCAAATGTTTTTTTTTTTAACATGTTGCTGTAATCAGATACAAAATGAGCAGATTTTTCAAAAAAACATCTTTTCACATCTTAAATCTTGGTTTTGCACTTTTTAAAATTAATTACTGATTAAAATGATTTAAAAAACCATCAGTTCCCAGGACCCACAGTTGTATTATAAATAGAATTAGTTAAAATGATACACCTAAAAAACACAAAGGTATCAGGAACTTTACAAAAATATCCCTTTGTTTTGGCAGTTAGTTGTTAGTTTATGCACTTTCTGTATTCATTCATATACTTTTAAAAATAAAGCTTTTAAGTTTTATTTTTAATTTTTTTTCTCTCATTGTTGTTTTTCTGTTTTGGTCTTTGCGTTTTTCTACATTTCGTTCTGTTTTTTGATTTCACCTGAAGGTTAGAACTGAAAACATTTGCATAATAGTCAGCTAGCTACTTCATGTGCATAAATACAACATCTATTTCCAAAACCTTGCATCACTGTTTTCATTTATAAACAAACTAAATGTGAGGAGTGTAAGGGCCTGTGTCCATTCATGGCTTTCTTTGTGCTGGCAGCATCCATGACCACCTTTTCAGAGCATTTTTTTCTCCAGTGTTAAAAAAAAAGCTGTCCTGCAGCACTTCTCTCAGTGATGACCATTTGTTAGTTTTGTTTACTTCATATTTGAAGAAAACATCAAAACAGCTGATAGAAATAGAGCTGTTAGAATCACAGGAGCTCTGGATCAGAAAATATTACCCTGTATAGTTAATATCTCCTTTGTGCAAACCTTTGTCATTGCTGAGAGATAAGCAGCTTAATGTCTAAAGAGGACTTGTACTCATTTTCATCTTTCACTCTGTCAGTTTGCACACCCGGAGGTTAGCTTAGCATGATTAGCAGCTCTAAAAACTCCTTATTTATCTCCTACTAGAGTAAACCCTTATTTCAGCGCTATTCAGCATCTGACTGAGAATCTTTATTTGGCTACAGTTACATAAAGTTAGACACAGTTTGGGGTGTTGCTTTTTACACAGCTTTGAAGGAATAAATCACCCCAAAGGTTTTGTGCAGCATGTGGAACATGCTCAGAAGGCTTCAGCCAGCCTAAGTCTAACTAAGGCATATAAATATAAGAGATAATCCAAAACCACTTTGTTCAGGTACGTTAGAAACGTGAGTTGCTGTGATTCCAGACAGACAGATTTTAAAACTCTAGTCCATGTAGGACAAACCCAACAAATATTTTTTTTAATAACATGTAAAGGTGCTGACTGAGCTGCATGGGTTTGTAAAGAAAGCTGTAAGTGGAAACAGGCCCTAATGCTCGTACTTTTTTTTTTTTTTTTGTCTTTGGATTTCCACATTTTTAAATTTGAACCTTTATTCTCTCATTCTTTGTAGATTTGTCCTTTAACCGATCAATCATTGATGGATGGATAAAAAAAACACAAACGTGAAAAAAGAGGAGATTCAGAGGTAAGTTTAACCCGTTATGTGCTGTGGTACACTCTGCAGTGTGGTGCATTTTAAAGCTAAGAAATAAAAGCTCTTTTAATACAGTGTTGGAGTCAGGATGCTTTCAGAGGGCGTCACAGATGGACCTGTCAGCGATGATGTGTGTGCGCTTCAGGCGATAAGAAAAGAAAGTTTGCACTGTATCATGAGGTAATCTGGTTCTGGTGATTCACACCAACCATTTGGTTACATACAGGGTAGCACTGCTTCATTACAGAGAACATCAACACCACTTTAAAGCTAACTGTTTTTGGCTTTTTACTCTTTTTGGTACAAAAATAATAATATAGCTTGAGCTGAGCGTAACAGGAGCTATAGATGCTAAGAGTTAGGTCAGTAACAGTGAGGAGCACAGTACGAGCACAGAGATGATTAACACTGGTTTCCTTAATGATCCAAACTTCTACGTCAGTTCTGCTGCTGACTCTTTACCGTCAGCATGTCTCGGAGGTAAGCTGTTATCTGTCTGGAGTGTTAAAGCGTGCACGGTTTTTACATGTGTGTGTGTGTGTTTTCATGAGTGAGTGTGCAGGACAACTAGAGGAAATCCAGTTTGCATACAGAGGAGCTGGATTTCTCAAACACATCCCTGGATTTCTACAGTGCATACAAACGTCTTTAGGACAGAGATGATTCAAAACTGGATTTAAAATCTGACCCTTCAGAGTTTTGATTGTACAGGAGGGAAAGTCCCACAGACATCAGCTCTCTAAAGTCTGAGTCTACAGACGTTTTGGTTAAGGTGTGTGTGCATGTGTGTGCATTGATTGTTACAACATGATCTCCATGTGTGTTTGATTGATTTTTTTTTTGTTTGTTTGTTTTTTGATCTATTTGGCCTGAAGCTAACGTGTGTCTGTGTGTGCACATTCAGAGGATCCAGATCAGGGATTTGAACATGGTCTTGGTCCTCAGTTAGCAGGTCCGGGGTCTGCTAAAGGCATAGTGTGCAGCACCTCATCTAGAAGCTGCAGAGCGCGGTGCAGGTGGACCTCCACCCAGCAGGGGGTGTGTTTGATGCTCTGACGGGGGTAGTCTGGCCCCCAGCCCTTCACGAAGCTGAGCCGCAGGATGCAGAGCCGCCTCAGGTCGTCCACACCGATCCCTGCCGCTGCAGACAGACCTGACAGAAAGCAAGAAAGTAAGGAGTCAGAAATTTCACCTTCATCTCTCATTGTGTATGTCTTGACCATTTTAACCATATTTAAGTTAAAAGCAGGTGCAGTATCTTTTTTTTCCAAGTCAATATCGATTCAGAAAACAGAAAAAGAGCAGATACAGGCCCTTCACTTTGGGCTGAGATCAGTGCTCAGCTAGCTGAAAAAAAAGCAAAGACATTTATTCTTTAGATTTTTGAGAGTCAGACGTGAGAAGAGCTGCTCACACCGGTGGTCTGAACTGTAGCCATCCTAAAGCATCAGGGTGGAAACCAAAACAAGACCAATGATTAAACAAACTCACAAACTTAAGGCCGGGACCTTTTTTGCCGTGTGATTATTTTAGACGTCAATATTTTTTGCCGTATCCTGTCAATAGAAGCGTTCACATCAGCGACGTTTTCCTGTCCTGCAATATTGGGGCATTTATTTTTTCTGATCACGGTTGATTTTTCTAAAGTTTCGCAGACTGTGTGTCCACTTCTGACCAATCAGATTGCGTGTTGTTGCGACGTCTGATTCACCGGTATATCCAACATGGCCGACCAGCTGATTGTTTACGTGTCGGAGAACAGAGTGCTTTTTGATAAAAGACACAAATATTACAAAGATAATGACCTGAAGGACAACTTGTGGAGAGTCATAGCGTCAGATTTCGCATATGACGATAGTTTGTGTGTTTTAACTTTCATCTGTGCTAACGTAAGCTAACAGTTGTTATAGTTGCTTATCTTATCGCCTCTGATTGGCTATAACTGCTGGCCGTTTTGCTTGAGCGTGTGATGACGTTTCCAGCTTTTCTAGCCAATCAGAGGTGAAGGAGGCGGGACTTTCCCCAGCAAAAGTCTTCCCCGGGATGCGTCTTTTCCCCCTCTGAAAAGTCGCAAAATCGCATCGGGCTTGATGTGTATAGCCAGGCCCGTCAAAATTCTCCTCCGAATATTTCGCACTTTTGCGTTCTATATTTGTGTCGGCCCCAGTGTGTAAGGACCTTTTAGAGTGACGATCACAACACTGCAGTCACTCTGACACTTCATCAGGTAACATGATCACTCACTGACTGCAGGTGCGATTCCTCCCACGCTGCCTGGCCCGGGGATGTTTCCTGCAACAGCGGCCGCCTGAGCAGCTGCTGCAGCCTGTGCAGTCGCCGCCTGCTGCTGCATCTGTCTGTGACACTGTCGCAGGTCGAACACCTAAACCAGACACAGAGAAACCCGATGAGCTGCACAGAAACAGGATGATACACCTCCGCAGCAGAGCAGGTGAGCTGGAGGGATGTATTTCTGTTCATTTTTCATTGACGAAAGTTTATTTGGTTACATATTTGCAGCTGAAAATCAAACATTCTAACTGGGAGAGAGACTTTCTTTTTCTGTGATGAACTCGCTTAACAAAATGACAATAATAAAGCTTGAAAATAAACATGATAGAAGAGGTTCTTTGATCAGGATTCACACCTTGATGTACGCTCCTGGGTAGATTTTATGAACAGCGTCCCCTGGTGCTCGGCCCGCCTCCCTGTCGAGGTAGTAACTCTGGACAAACACGGCGTGATCGCTCATACAACGCATCCACACGTCGCCCTCCCCACGACACTCCAGCTGGACACCTTTCCCGATGTGCAGCCTGAGTGGGATGGTGGAAACATCAGGAGGATAAAATCCCATATTTTAGTTTGAGTAATGACCGCTAACTGAGAGTGTTTGTGCATTTCAGTAACTGTAGAAGAGTTCACCTCCTGCAGTTGGAGGATTTAACAGATGGGTTATTAAAGGTATTCATCTTCTCTCACCTGGCTCGCTCGCTGGCGTCCGTGCGGTGAACGTTGCTCAGCTGGCCGAGGCAGAAGCGGTCCCCCCCTGATGGGTCGACGTATCCATCCACGGTGACGACGGGACAGCTGGAGGGAACCTTGAACATCTCACCCACCTGAACATCCATCTCAAAGTAGGAGATGGAGCACCAGAACTCTGGACCTACAGAGAAAAGATGACAAACTGACAGATGAAGGAATCATAAATACTGTACTCTGGCAGCAATTTAAAGAGTTAAAGAGTTCATATAAAACAGCAGAAACAGTGAAGAGTTACATGTCTGTGACTAAAGAGAACAGTTCAGACCAGGAGCTGAAACCTCGTACCTGGATGATTGGACACAGACGGAGGGAAGGAGGCGGAGCCGTGATGCTGAGACCCTGAAAAAAGAGAGAAAAGAGAGCATCAGTCTGAGTGTCTGTGTTTGTAATCATTATTCTGGTAACTGGATGTTTCTCTTCAGTGATTCTGTGTCATAGCAGGTTCAAGTCTCACAGTGGTGGTTTGGGTGATGGAGGGGCGGCTGTTGGTGACCTCGTCCGTTCTGTTGGGGTCCTACAGGAGTGTAGGAGGCCGTGCTGCTGCCTGTCCACACTGCTGAAATACACGAAATACAAACACATTACTGATCACAGACAGAGGAAATGTTAAAAACATGAAGTTATGTTTTCTGTCATCAGCGATCAAAGTTTAATCCTGATGAAAACAAAAAAATCAACGAGAGATGAAAACATTCAATTTGTTAAAACAAGAAATCTTCTTACTTTTAATTTATTATTTTTATTTTTGGTTTTTAGATTTCCCCTCCTTCCTTCTTCCCTATCACCATTCAACCATTCCTTCCTCCCTTCCTTCCTCAAATCCTTTTTTTCTTTCCTCCTTCTTTTTCCCCATTCTTTCTTCCCTCCCTCTCCTTTACTCTCTTAATTCCTTTCATCCTGTATTTCTCCACTGTTTTCCTTCTTTTTTCTCTGTCCTAACATTTACCATCATTCTTCCCTCTCTTCCTTTCCTCACTAGACCTTCCTCATTTCTTCCTCTATTTCCTTCTCCATCTTTTCCTTTTTATGTCCCTTCCTTTCAGTCTTTCCTCCTTTTCTCTTTAATCCTTCTTTACTTTCCTACTTTCCCTTCTAAATCCTTCTTTCCTCTATTCCTTCCTTTCTCCTTCCTTTACTCTACTCCTCTCCATCCTCTATTTTTTCCCTCCTTACCCCCTTTTTTTGTGTGTGTGTGTGTGTGTGTGTGTGTGTGTGTGTGCGTACTCACTGTGGAAGGCCGCCTGGCTCTGAGGGTGTTTATTGCTGTTGTATCCATTCTGCCCATGCGGGTGAGATGGAGGGTGAGGGTGAGGGTGAGACGGAGGGTGGGGGGACTGTTGAGGGTGGGGGGGCTGAGTCTGTTGCTGGGCGGCCTGTTGATGAGGAGGGGGCTGAGTCGGGGTTGGAGGTCGCGGTGTCATGACTTGAGCCTGTGGTGACGCGGTCTGGAGGCGGCCGTCGCCGTGACCCCCCTGCAGAGGCATCATGGACCCGGAGCTGGACACTGAGGGGGGAGAATGGGAGGACACATCAGGCCTGAATTAAGTCTCTGACTTGTCTCCAAGAGTCACAGTCAAAGATAAAAGACACCCACCCTTGGGGGAGACGGGTAGGTTGGTGTATAGGGTGATGGGTGGGGGTCCGTGGGGCTCAGAGGGCAGCTGTGGAGGGGGCAGGGGCTGGCCGTAGTGGTCTGGGGGAGGCAGCTTCATGGTGGCCTGGTGTTCGGACAGAGGCATGCCCGGCGGGAGGTCCATCTGTATACAGTCATGGATGTACTCCTCTTTGATCAGCCCGCCTGGAGCCGCTGCAGGACGAGGACGAGCGATTACAATAAACATTATAATACAATACAAAAACTTTGTTTCCCAATTAAAATTTATAACAGCTGACAGAAACACATCTCACAGAGAGGCATCCACAGAACACAAGAGCAGTTAGAGAGAAGGAGAAATACAAGATTTTGACAAAATGCTCAAATCTGTCACTGAACATTCAATTTACAGAAACATTTGCCTTGTCTTTTGTTTCGTGTTTGTGAATCTTTGTTTTAAGAGAATAATGTTCGTGATTTATGGCATTATTTCTGTGTTTTTGCTTTTGTACTGTACAGATGAACTCACCTGGGTTCTGGAGGCTCAGTCCAACTGTCAGAGGAGACACAAAGACAGACATGAAAAAGCAGGTTCAGAAATGAGTCATGAACAAACACACGGATGTTCAGGAATCAGGACGTACCGATTCCAGGTGACACCACCCTCTCATAGTGGTAGGGGTTCACGCACACGTTGTCGTACTTCAGGTCGAAGGCGTACTGGCAGAATTTGACATGCTTGAGTTCGTTTTTGTGGAGGTCGGGCCAACGCCACAGACGAGCGTAAATCACGTGAGGGAAACCTTTTCTGCCCGCCACCTAAGAAGAGACAACAACAATGAGACGACTCGTCCAAAAAACCCAAAACAGACAAAAACAGACCATTAAAGCTCTTAAAAATAACGGTAAAAAGACAAACATTTAGTGTTTGGTCGGTTTTTAGAAAAATCATGTGACAAGATTAGAGCTAACTGTTGGAGGTATACCAACCTGCAGCCGTCCGTCCAGCGTCCTCTGAATGGTCACACACTTGCTAGGATGGACGCCATTGGTTGTGATGGCAGTGATGAGCGAGTCCAGCTCGTCCTTCTTCTCCTTCAGCTTCTTCACCAGGCTCTCGATCGCCCGCTTGGCGAAGCCCTCGTTTTCCCCACCCTGCCGGTGACACATGAGGCTGTGGACGATGCTGAGGCAGGCGTCGTTGCTGCTGGGAGGATTCACCGACATAATGCTGCACAAACAGGAAACCAGAGGATGGATGAACAAATACTTTCCACTGTGGACACGTCCTTCTGGACTGAAACATCTAATGTGGAGGTAAATCACATGTTCTGCTGAAATTCATCTCTCAGTTAATTTATTCCACATCCTGCACATTTAAGTGGAAATCATCTGTGTGGGCATTAGGTAAAGAAGTATGTTTGAACTCAGTTATCCTGCATCTATTTACTCAGATCAGATCTTTTAGTGCGTTTATATGATGATCAGAAAATCTTTTTATCATGTCAGTCCGACTGGAGCTTCTTTTGAAATACGTTAGTCCAACTAAAACGGCCCGACATCAGATGTGGACTAACTCATGGAGTCTGAGACTGATATTCTCTGACATATAGAGATATAAATTTTCCATTGTTTGAATGAAACCAGTCTGCCTCCTCCTAATGTGTCTGTCAATTGTTCTGGTCCGTGATGTAAAAGGTCAACCAAGAGGCTGTTTAACAGTAATATCCTGAACGAGGGAATGTTTCCATCTAGTGAGGGGGATAAACTTATATCTACAAATGAATTCTCACCTGTGACAATTTTTTTTTTTACATTTTACAAAACACCAAAATTTACATGAAATTTACATTTCAAACAAAAATATTTGATAAATATTAAAAGTCAGATACTTTGTAAACATTAAAGTTTCCCACAAACAAAGAATATTTGATAAAACAAAGAAACATTCAAAGAAATGCAAAAACATAATTATTAATTAGTGTCAAATTATTTTTAAAAATGTAACTTTTTTAAATAAGTTAAAAAATAATTTGATAAAAGACAGAAGTCTCTTTAATTAGCTACAACTGTAATAAATATATTGATTATTATTTTGGTTCATTTGTCAGGGACAGGTATAATATTGGTAAACACTTCAGGTTGGAAGTATCATGGTGTTTATGGGGGATATGAATCTGCGACAGCCGTCTTCCTTTAATGAGAATAAAAGATAAAAACAGTCAATTTAAAAAGGTGAGCTGGGTACAGGGAAGAACAAAACATAAAATCAAGCATGATTTTGCGTTTGTTGGTGAACAAGGCAGGATCCAGTTGCTCTCTTAAAGGTGGAGAAGTTAGCAGTAAGTTTAGATGATCAGGTGTCTGAGTGAAAGATGTTTGACAGAATGAACCTTTAAATTCACTTTTTGCTCTGTAGTCTCTGTGTACGAGCAGAGAGGCAGGGAGTGAGTCCGTAACAGTGGTGACATCTGACTGTCCAAGATTTTCAGACTTGATGGTTGAGACACGCTGAGGACTCAATCAATGACTGGTTTATCTGGGAATAAGCCTTAATACAATGAAGCAGATGAGTATCTTTATGCTTTCAGCTACATAAATTTATAAGCTAGGAGAACAAACACTAAAAAGATTTTATTAGATACAGACGTAAGTTTACATATTCTTTTAAACAGTATGTAGATTGGTGGAATAGTGAGTTACATCTGCAGCTGAGCCTCATAAACAGACAGTAAAGCAGCGGAGAACAGTTCTGATTTATTCTACGTGGAGGTTTGAGGGGGCTGTTTTGGCTCTGCTGACCTTTTCTCAAGGATGCAGTTTCTATAAGACAACAACAACAGAAAACCAAACTGAGACCAACAAATGCTGAGATGATGTTGTTACTCAGTGAACTGGATGATACATAAGGGGAGTGACATTTATAGTTCATCTGTGGTGCTTCTGTGCGGGAAAAACAAACTGAACATGCAACCAGACAACTTCATTTTAAGACAGTGTCCAACAGAGTATCATCTGTATTTAGTTTAAGGACGAGGGCAACCAAAAATACGAGCTATCTCACTCAGGGCACATTTCAAATTAAAAGTCCAGTTTTCAGTTTCAGTTCTGAGATTATTTTGCTTTAAATCTGTCAGATTAAAAAGTGAAAACCTTAATTTTTAAGCGAAAGAAGACAAGAAAGCCTTTTTCATTCACTAGATTCAATATAAGACATCTTTAAATCAATTACAGCTGGACAGAAGCCGAGAAAAAAAAACATGACATACAGTGAGTACGCTCACAAAATGTCCACCAATCTGTTGGTCTACGACCACAATCCATCCACCCATCCACATGGCAACAAAAGGTAGTTAACATTTTAAACCGTTATCATTTTTCAGACCCAGACTTTCAGACTCTAGTGCAGGTTTCTCAGTCCATGTCTGAGATCAGAGGACACACAGTGAGCTGTTTGTAATCCAAACAAAAATCTCTCTGCTCCATGAATTCTCTGTCTGCTTTTATATTGTCGTGCTTTAGATTTGGAAATAAAGAGATGATTCTGATGAATAAATTTTGATCCATAGAAAAATCATCTCTGTGGATAAATGAGCAGACACGGTCTCTGTTTCTGTAACACATGTTTACCTTGCGTTGCTCACCTGGTGTTAAGTTGGTCAGCCAATGAGTGACCAGAAAGTTCACTGGCATCATGATGGCCCAGTTCCGAATCAGTCCCTGAAAGCAGAGCAAAGACTGGGAGTTAGGGGAACGCAGTTTATGGTTCAAATCTAAAGGAAGGTAAAATTAAGAAAATTCTCCTGTACAAGGTAAGAAAAAAAACCCAAATCAGCTGATTTTTACACCCTGATGCTGTCCTTGGTTTCATCTACAGTGAGAGACTCACTAAAAACACTTTTCGTATTCATGGTTTCTGCCCTTGCTGTGCTGAATTACTGCTTCAGGGTTGGTGTTTTTAAAATATACTTCAAAATACTGATTCTGGCTCTTAAATCACACAGAATAAGGTCAGAAAATGCAACAAGATAACTTTAAAATAAGAATCATGGCATACTTAAATTAAAAATACTCAATGTGCATGGAAATAGATGCATGTCCCACATAGTTCTGCACAGATAAATGTTTTATTACCCCACACATGTTTAACTCTTAAACATAACATTAATACTGTCTCTGGGTCATTTGAGGACAGAAATTTACAACTCATCGTTTTGCACAGAACTTGTGATTCTTGCTAAAGATGGAGTCAGACTGTCTGTACCTTTTTATTGGATCTGTAACAGCATATACGGTGGCCCTGAGGGTCAACTGCACAAATATTTAAAAACCTAAGTAAACAAATTTCAATCAGCACCTAAAACATTTCACTAAAAAGACAATATATGCATCAATGCCAAAAACAGTTCACTTTGTTTCAAGAACACAAAAATGTTTAATAAAATGCCAAAAAATTATTTCACATAATGCAAAAGTGTTTGATGATATACACAATTATTTCATATAAAATAATTTATACAAAATACATATTTAAAATGCATTTTTACACACACACACACACACACACACACACACACACATACACACACACACACACTCACACACACACAAACATAATGCAATACAAAACATTTTCCCAAAACTTAAGCATTTTGTAATGTGGAATTTGGAAAAACTAAGAATACTCCAAGAAACTGAAACATGACAGTAACAAAAGATCTTAAAAAGAGCAGTTACATCTTAAATAACTCATCAGAATATTTCATCTGAAAAAAAATCTGGTTTGATGAAATACTTTTGATTTATCCGTAAAATGTTTCTGCACTAATGAAAGTATGTTATTTCATATCATGTAATTTTTTTCTAAGTGACACGTTGTTTTTCATTGAATATTTTAGTATTTTGTGAAATTTTTCTTCTTTTTATGAAATATACTAAGTGTTTTGTGGTACTCTTCCTGTTCAGTGAAATTTTCATCTATGAAATTACTAAGGTTCTGTAAATTTTTAATGACTTTTTGCACTAAGTGTTTCTTTTCTGCAGTGTCCGCCTTGATTTGAATTTTCCTGATGATTTCTTTAGGTTTGATTTCACACACATGTATTTAGTTGGATGTTTTTGCATCACACATGTTGGTGCTGCTGACCTTCAGGGCCACCGTACATACTGCATTAAGGCACATACATGTAACTGTTGCTACATACATCACCAACACACACCACAGACTCACCACACCTTCATCCATGTCTCTATATAAACACACCTTCATTATGATTTTCATACCTTCAGGCCTGAATGCCTACAGTTAGATACATCCCTGAAGACAGCTTATTTCCATCTAAACTGCAGTTCATGTGATTTATCGGGAGAAATGGGAGATAAAATGGACCGTTACCTTAAACAACCCATACCTTCACTTCACTGACATCACATTAGGTTAACATGCGTCACCAAGTCTGCTGTCTCAATATGTTCAAGGACCACCTCAGACCATTTACGTGTCATTTATTTACATTTCTGTCTGGTTTAAGTTGATAAAAAGGGGGGTGTAGAGAGGTAAAGGAGAGGAAAATGTGTGTAATTGGTTAAATACGGGGCTACAGAAGAGAAACACAGAGACAGCAGAGGAGGGTTTGTGTATTTCCTCGGTTTACTGTCGTTGTTTCCTCGGTCTGTGGAGCTAAAATCACACGGTGCAGGAAAACGGTCGGTACTTACACATCAGCCGGAGAGGAGAGGGGAACTTGGACAGAAAGATCGTCTCAAGTGTTGTAGACAGATCCGTACCGTTTAATGTTCAGAGGAGAGCTGATGTTGGAGTTATTTACCGCCGAATATCAGACCTCCGCGCTTACATGAGCTTCAAACCCCCTAAAACAGCAAACTAACGTCCATTTAACTCTCCGTTTCTCGCTTTTATCGTTTTATCAGCCTCACTGTCTCCTCGTGCATCCTGTCCGTTCGTCTCACGCACGCCACAATAACAATAGAGGGGAGACATCGTGCGCGTCGGTGTCTCGACGGGCTCTAGCCAATAGGAGGCAAGGTCTCACGGTGGAAACAGCTCTCGGCCAATCAGAAGGCGGCTCTCACAGCTGGCCCGCCAGCCAGGGTCTGTCTGGTTCGTCTAGATTGACAGGTCCGCGAGACTGTTTTTTTAAGGTGGCGCCGCTGAGATTAACGCCCCCCCCCCCCAACACACACACACACACACGCACGGGCCGCAACTGTTATTTGAGCAACACTTGACTATGTTACATGCTAAACTAGAGAGTTTTTTTATATCCCATTTTGGAGTTGAAAATTCTTTAAAATACAGCATTAAAGAAGCAAATGTGAAAAAAAAGATAATTTACAACTTTGCAAAAAAATTAAATAAAAAATACAGAAGAAAAACGGTTTAGACTTTGCATTTAAAAATTAGCCTGAAGAAAAATGTAATTTATTATCTTGAGATATAAATTTTGAAAACCTACTATGTTCCAGGCCCAATTTATCAAAAAAATAACTTACATTATGGACAAAAAAAAGAGGATATTAATTGCGTAATTGCTTTAGTTCTTTGATATGTTGCTCCTAAACCTAGCTATTGTTCAGCATCATGAGGCCTTCACTGATGTGGAAGCTATCCATGACATGGACGCTGATGATCCCCATACCATCAGGCTGGCTTTGGACTGAGAGCTGATAACTAGCTGGGTTGTCCCTCCACTCTTTAGAGGGGAGAATGCAGAGTCCATGATGCCCAAAAAGACTGTTACATTTTGATCAACAGTTCTTTTCCATCTCAAATGGGTTCAGGTTCGTAAAAGTCTCTGGTGTTTCTGGATCATGTTTATATCTGGTTTGCTCTCCTCATAAAAGCAGAGAATGCAGAGTCCATGATTCCCCAAAAGAATGTCAAGTTTTTATTAATCAGATTTCATAGTTTTATGGTCTCCTCTTTGCATGGTTCAGTTTTACTCTTATTTGTAGATGCAGTGATGAACTGTGTTTACTGACAATGTTTTTGAGTGATTTTAACAAGTTCTTACCTGTTTGGTTGTTCCTTTAACAACTTTTTAGAAACACGTTGCTGGCATCAAATTCAAAATGAGCAGATTTTTTAATTATCCTAATAATACAATTTTCACTTTCAACATTTCATTGTTATTTTTTTATTGTTTTCATTTAATTTGAGGCTCTACAGTTTGTTTTTTGGTCAATATTTTGGAACCAGAGTTATATATACTTTAATAATGGTTTAAAGACCTCCAATGCTACATGTAACATTGATTCAAGTTGTAAAAATGTAATAATTCAAGGTCTTCCAGTCTATTCGCCTAGCAGGTCTCATTCACTTCTACATTTCCTTCCAACACAAATGTAATCTTTGCAGAAGTCTAAATCCAAAATCTCAGCGCATTGATGGGGAAAATTAACAGGTAATAATTCTATCTTTGTGTGGTGGCATCACGCTTTGGCATAATTTTTTTTTTTTAAATAAGACACATCAATGTGAAAGCTTGATGTTAAGATATATATTTTACAAACATCCATAACAAGCAATGGAAATTGTACAAAAACTAAAAACCACTGTTATTATCAAGACATTATAATGATGCATAGCCACAGAGAGAGCTGTTACAGAGGAGGTCTGAAGGATATATCAGCAGGTTTTTACACAGAGAGCAGTCACGCAAAAATACAAAATGCAGACAAGTTAAAATTTTTTAATGAAAAAAAAAAAAACATTTAGCTGAACAGAAAAAAATATATTTTACAATCTGAGACAATAAAGTTTGTGTTATCTTAGAAATTGGGTTGTAGTTTCCTGTAATGCCAAAAGTGTATTTTAGCATTAAACCATGAGTCAAATCTTGACGTGCTGATACTTTGTTGTCCGCTATGACTTCTGAAAACACCTGTTACAATCAGTTTATTTTATACAACAAAAAAATGATCCCAGATTATGGGGACCAAGCTTTGAAAATGCTTCGGACAGAACACAAGGGACAGATTTGGAAAAATTCGGTATAAGCTATCCTAAAATTTTGGGGAATTTCAAGGAGCTTGTGTCTGAAAATAGAGATTCAGGAAGGACTCACTTCTTCAGCTTATGAGTGTGACAGCCAATGGTGAAAGTGTCTACTACTTTGCACACTCTTGGTATGCTGTTTTACAGGGTGAAATAATGCAGATTACAGCAACACCAGTTTTCATGCTAAAATCATGTTTGTCATTACAAATCCAATAGCACGTACATCTGCTACACCTATTTCAGTTTTCAGGGTTTTTTTTATGATGTTGAGGATTTGTTGCTAAGCTGAGATAATTCAAAGTTTGGCCTCCAGCTGCTTTTAAACTTCAGTTTACCTGCTTAAACTGCATCTACACCATCCATCCATCTACCACCATAGTGCTATTAATTTTCACTTCATAAAGAGCAACATACAGCTTGCATTTGTAAACTATAATTTCCTGAAGAAAAGGGCAGTTTAGAGGAACAAGAATCATTACTCTAATCTGTGTGATTACTCAGGCCAAGTGCCGTCATCGATCTTGTTCATGGGTAACAATAACGAGCCAAAATGAAGGAGCGATGATTGAACTGTTATAATAAATACATGTAATGAATGCCTCCAGTTAAATTTGTCTAAAAGATTAGACAACATGCAGCTACATGGTGATAAGCATCTAAACACCTCAGACAGCTTAATACATGTCAGAGGAAGAGGCCTCCTCCTCCTCCTGTTTCAGTGTCCTGCACTGGCGTGTCCTGCTGATCAGTGACGGTTCACAGAGTGTGATGTACAGAGCAGGAGAAGGAGGAGCAAGAGAAGGAGGATCAGGGTTTACTGGGGGAGCGGGTGGTGAACACTCCCGACGCCTCCAGCATCGTCTTCCTCCGTGCCGTTTCCTTCGCCACATTGTGGTTAAGTCGTCTCAGACGCTCCTAGAGACACAAAATTAACATTATTTGGGATGTTTTTTCATTTTTGTGTCAATCTGATGACTTTAAATCCTACATTTACCAATGCTCTTACTTGTCTGTCAGTCTCTTCTAATTTGATTTCTTCTAGCTATTGTAGGATAATATTTTTTACAGAAGTCCATCTCTTCACTGACCTGTGCATTCTGCAGGATGTTGTTTACTAACACAACTCTCCGTCTGGCATTCAGCAGCTTCTTCACATATGGGTCCAGATCCAGAGCTACCTTCTGGTGCTCATTAATCCTACATAATTCTAGAAAACACACATGACACAAAAACAGCAGTCAGCAGACAGGACACTTCAGTTTCATACTACATGCAATTGAAAAATCTAAACAGTGTTCAAGGAAAACAAAAACAAAAAAATCTTCAAGAAATACATTAACAGCTCTAGATAAGCAGGGACGAAAGAGTGTAAAATACAAAGAGATTTTGATGATTTGTGAATAATTTAACTATTAATAATTAGTTAGATTTAATAACTACCATTGAATTTCCCTTTGGGGATCAATAAAGTTCTTCTTAATTTTAGCCCAAGTTTAATTTAAAATGGTGCAAAGAAAACATATATGATGTGACAGTCTGTGTCACATCTGATAGTCTTTGACACTCCCAGTGTCACTCACTCACAGGTCCTCCGTTGTCTACCTACAACAAGTGAGGTCTTCCCAGACTTCGGAATAACACTTCTCCACCAACCAGATTTGGTTGTACACCAGCACAAGAGGAAAGTAAGGGAAACGCTTATCATTTTATAAATCTGAGCCTGGCGGTGCTGAAATAAAGCATTTGCAGTGGACGCAGTTTGATAATGCATACATGCCTGGTCAAACTATATTTTAGCTCGTTTCGCTGCTGCCGGCTGCTCTATCTTCATACTGGATGGACCCCATGTTCTCCCCATCAGTCAGACACACACAGGCTCATGAAAAAATAGGGCCCAGTTTGAAATATGTCTCCCTCTAACTGCCATGGGCTGCTTCCACTTCTGTGAAGGCTTCGTTAATGCAGAACAATAGCTACAGGTTTAGGTGCAACATCTGCTGCCATTCAGACGATGACTTATTTCATATTTCATCAAGACAATGACAAACCACTTTCTGCAGGGATTACAACAGCATGGCTCTGTAGTAGAGAAGTTGTACTACTAAACTAAATAAATTTAGGGGTTAAATAATTTGCAAACATCCTAATCTGTTTTTAATCAACATTTTGCAGGGTCAGAATTGTGGTGGTATTACAAAACTCTTGAGTTATCTTACCTGTTGCCAGATTGTCTATATGTTCTCTTAGCTCCACCTGACTTTCTCTGCAAACAATCAAAGAATCACATTAATCCAGAAAATCTGACAGTGTGCAAGTAAAATGTGCAGATTACAACAGTTTCAATTAGAGCAGTCAGGAGTGTATCAAAAACACACACAAAAAGACAAAATTCCACATGGAATCCAACAGCTTTACAACAGTAAAACTGAACATTTATGCTGAAAACACAGTAAAGGGAACAATCAGGGCTGACAGAGTCACGGGACAGGCGAGCAGTGGGCTCAGATGACAGGAAGTAAAAATGTCACATTCAATCAATCAACAACCACATTTACCTGACTGAGTGTACGTGCAGGTCGAGCTGCTGAATCGCTGGTTTCAGGAGGTCCAATAACCCCTCAGCGATGGCATCTTTCCCCGCAGAAGTCTCCACCAGAGCCGCTGAAGCCATTTTACTCGACCATAAACACAGCCGAACCCGGATATGACGTCCTCTCCTTGACGTACAACGTCATAAGAACGTCTCCATTTTCTCCTCGAGAAGAACGGGTGGCCGGTTTCGGTAGCTGCACCATTTTGGAGCGACGACGGCCTTTCCACCGGTGTTTGTCTGTCGTTTTAGGAGACTTAACTCGAGCAAACTCTGTTTTAAAGAGTGTTATTTGGAAGTTAGAGACATATTAACTGTTTTATAGAGACAGAAGGCGAAAAAGGAAAGCTAAAACGGCCGCACCGTGCTGAGACAAGCTAGCTTTGAGGCTAATCTTGGCTGAGAGGCTTTCCGACCGACCGACCAACAATCTCTGTGAGTAAAATTGAAATTACTAAATATTAAAAATTTGCTATGTGAATACTGTTAATCGCCTCATGTATATATCTTTGACTATGTGAATACGGAATTTAGCGTTTCTGTGGTTATTTTTTCGCCCAGCCAAACTACCCACCCTCCGTAGGTGTAGATATTGAACCGGTTTTAACCAGAACAAAGCAGTTTTATTATTGTGTAGTCCTGGGTAAAGATGTGAAATACATTAAATATAATTCAGAGGTATTTCTAACTTACTCAGTCTGTTCTTGTGTGAGTATCTTCTGTGGGTTTGCCTCGCGGGGTAATAAAGTCCAGTACTGAGATATGAGCAGACAGCTGCAATCACACCTCCACCCTCAGCTTTATTTAACTCCTCCACCTTCAGCTACACTATACCCCTCCAACCTCAGCTTTCTTTAACTCCTCCACCTTCAGATCCACTATACTCTTCCAACCTCAGCTTGACTTTACGCAGTCTTCAGCTTTATTTAACTCCTCCACCTTCACTATACTCCTCTAACCTCAGCTTTATTTAAGTCCTCCACCTTCAGCTTTTTTTTTAACTCCTCCACCTTCATTATACTCCTCTAATCGTAGCTTTATTTCACTCCTCCACCTTCAGTGTCATTGTATTCTTCTAATCTCAGCTTTCTTTAACTCCTCCACCTTCAGCTCCACTATACTCCTCCAACCTCAGCTTTCTTTAACTCCTCCACCTGCAGCTCCACTATACCCCTCCAACCTCAGCTTTACTCAACTCAGTCTTCAACTTATTCAGCTCCTTCACCCTCAGCTTTATTAAGCTCCACCTTTAGCTTAATTTAGTTCCTCTAACCTCGGCTTTATTGCACTCCTCCATCCCCAGCTGTATTCAACTCCTCCACCCTCAGCCTTATTGAACTCCTTCACCTTTTGCTTCATTTAATACCTCCACACTCAGCTATATCTGACTGCTCCACCTTCGGGTCTATGTAACTCCTCCACCCACTCACCTCTGAGCACTTTTTTTGTGGTCTCTTATAGTTTTCTCAGTATGGGTCAAACACTCGAATGTCTTCTCGGCACACACATTTACTCTTGATCCAGACTGATGCAGGTTAATGTGAAGTTTTCTCGTGTGTCAGAGTTTCTAAAAACAGGACACAGTTAGCTTTAACTCTTTGATATTAACTAATAATGATAACATGCTGTTAGCTGTTTGACAGTCAGCTAAATACTTGTGTGCATAAGCATGGCCCTTTTAATGAGGCAAACGTTCATGTAAAAATACAAACAGGAGCACCATTTGCTCATGAGCTCAATGGTATTTTCAACCAACAACCAGTCACGTACCATACCAACAGTACCAACACTCTGCTGCTTATTTAGTACTTTACCTCAGTGGGTCTAACAAGCATGTTTGTCTGTTCTCTCTTTCCAGGAGCCTGAAACAGAAGTCTGTCAAAATGAGTGCAGCCTCCTCCCAAAAAGTTGTCCTGAAAAGCACCACCAAGGTGTCCCTGAATGAGCGGTGAGGCGCCACGCACCCTGTCAGCAGTTAGACACCAGATGAAAAGGCCAGCCTTGGCTTGTGAAGGTTCTAGTGCTCCCTACGGAAGGCTTCTGTTGGGGACCGGACCTGAAATGGATGTTTTGCACAGTGTGTGCTCTGCTAACTCAACCACACCTGTCTTGTCCACATGTGTGTGGTTTAATACAACCTCAGTGTGGGACGCAGGCGGTTCAGCCAGGACAGGTGACTTGTGTGAGCAGTGCAGACATGTAGACAAGGGGAGAGGGTAGTGGTCACACTTGGTAAGCCTTGGTAAGCCTATGCTGGACCAGACCACTATCCTACAAACGCCCTGGCACTTCTCCTCCTCCTCCTGGTGAAAACACCAAGTATTCACCTTTACAGAGGAGAGGAAGGCTTAAGATAAACCAGGGAGATGAGGCATCCTCCTGCCTCTTTACATTTCTCTCTCAAACCAGTGGAAGTGAAGCACATGCTCTTTCTCTTCTCTCTCTTTCTCTCTCTGCTCAGAGATACTCAGTCCTAGCATGGACGTGACAAAGATCTCCCCTTCCCCTCTCCTCTCCCCTAACTCAGTGGTTAAGCCACAGTGTCACGGTCTGTGCTGTAAGAGGCTGAGTAACCAAGCACTCCTCATGTCCGGGGCCTCTGCTGCAGCATGATGACGCTCAGCCAAGCAGCCGGAGGCCTGTAAGTGGCAAACTGTGCTCCTCTTCTGGCACTCTTTTTTTTCTCTCCCTCTGTCTGTCTGTCTTTACACTCTCAGTGTCTTTATCGAAGTTCTTCTTGTGCTTGTTTGAAATCACACATGCTTTAATTCCAGTATAACTCAGTTGTGATGTGATGGAGAGAGAAAATGAGTGCCAACAGGTGAAGTCTGACATGACTTAAGAGCCAGCTCTCTGTGTGGCTGCTTCAGTGACATAAGAAATGACTTGATGTGGAACCTGCTTCCTCCTCCTCCTCTGTATGTCCCCTCTCCCCCTCTTTTACTCCCTTTCTCTCCCCCCCTCCCACCTCTAAAGCTTCACTAACATGCTGAAGAACAAGCAGCCCACTGCGGTAAGCATTCGAGCCACCATGCAGCAGCAGCACTTGGCCAGTGCTCGCAACCGCCGACTGGCCCAGCAGATGGAGAACCGGCCATCGGTGCAGGCTGCGCTCAACCACAAGCAGGTGAGGTCAGAGGTCAAACTCAGAGTAGGCTGCAGACACTCTTAGGAGGCCTGCACAGGCAACCATAGCATAGGAGGCAGTGGACAGCTGACAGTGCAGTGACTTGTTAACACACTGCAGGAACTCCACACACACTCACACACAAACATGCCCTGCCTACTCCAATGAACCTTTGAGGCTCCACTCAGGATTTTTTGTTTGTGGATGCACCTCACCAGTGACATAAACCTCATACAACCCAACATCAAAAATACTGAAATATCCCTTTTAAGTGGTAATGCTACAAAGCTACAACAGCAGTGATGCAGCTGATATCCAAGGCCACTAATGGCGCTTTTCCACAGTAACGGTACAGTATGGCGCGGCTCTACAAGCTTGCAACGCTTTTCCACTATTTATTCGTACCTCCTCGGCCCTGGTTCCAAGCAAGCCGAAGTTATACTATAGTGTGACGCCAGCCGACTGCCTTCCAATGATTGGCCACTGAGTATCGTCATCAGACGCGCGACACCCAACCGCAGACTGTAAAAAGACGAACAAAACACGGCCCCGCCATTTTTAAAATTACTCTTTTCCTACAAGAGAGAATAGCAGCAGCAGAAGAGTACACCATGGTCAGTCGACGAAGTCCAAACCTTCCTTTCTTTGATGGCAGAGTAAATGACGTCACTGCATTTTGTGCAGCCGTATGACGACCCCGCCCACACCGAGGAGATACTCAGTTGCAATGGAAATGCATCCAAACTGTACTGTGCCGTGCCGTACTGTACTGTGCTGCTACTGTGTCATGGAAAAGCGCCATAAATGACTGCCCTGGCTGTTAATATACATACTGCACATAGTGTCAATGCAACTTCAGTCACTGAGGATGCTGGCAAACAGCCCAGTGATGAAACAACAGCCAAACAAACCGGATGCTTTAAGGATACCGAAAAAATCTAAGACCAGTTTGAATAGATTGAACAGTTTTGTTGTTTCAGCAGAAACTTCTCCACCATTGGCCAAAAACCTAATGTGACAAACGGCACAAAGAAATCTTGATTCTCCACAAATTAAGCACATCACATCTAACAGGATGATTCCTTCCTGCAAAGTTTAGTAGCAGTAGAAGTTTAGTAGCAGGTTTTGCTTCCTTTATTTCAGTGGGAATTTGTGTTTCGCTGGCCCCTCCAGCTCCATCTACATGCCAACTTTCCCCTCTATTCATTTTGTCTGTGTTTCATCCCTGAATAATTTGTGCCAGAGCTTGAAGCAGCGGCTGGGGAAGAGCAACATCCAGGCGAGACTGGGCCGGCCGGTCGGAGCTCTGATGAGAGGAGGACCTGCAGGAGGAAGAGGTGGGATGCGAGGAATGACCAGAGGAGGCCTCCGAGGACGAGCCAGAGGAGGAGCAATGAGGGGAGCTCTGTCTCTGAGAGGTCAGTGTGCACAGTGTTGAGTTTATTTCTTTGACAGCTTGACCTGGATTCTCAGATTAAAGGTGGGGGTTTTTTTTGTGCCTTTGTTTTTTCAGGGAAGAGGATGACCACAGGTGGCCCGATGAGAGGCCGCGGCTCTGCTGGTCGTATGGGGATGCGTAGAGGAGGACGCCAACGTGGAGGACCTCCCGGCAGAGGAGGAGCTATGCCAAAAGGAGCACCTCGAGGAGGAGTGGCCAGAGGTGAGTGATGGTGTCAGTTCTCCATCATGAAACTGGGATGGAGAAACATGTCTGTAAGATTTATTATTTTCTTTAGAATAATTAAGCTGAACTGTCGGAGTGTTTATGAGCCACAGTTTAAAGGAGAATCTTTTTTTTCCGGTTTATTACAGCACCTTAAAAAAAGCTCTGGTTCTACCAGATAATTGTATATAGTCAGTAAATTATTAAACAGTTTCTTGTCGCTGAGACTCAGTCAGATCAAATCTCCCTGCCTGATGATAATTGCTGCTGCAGAAAGAGGAAGAACATCCTTTTTACACCAGCAGAGCTTCAATCTCATATTTCTAAGCGGGCGAGGATAACAAAACGAACACATTTTAACACTCCTTTCGGTTAACCTCCAGGAACTGACTGATTTCTGTGTTTTGGTCATCAGGTCGTGGTGGACTGCGCGGCCGTGGTGGTTTTGCTGGCCGGGGTGGCCGTGGCCGTGGGCGAGGCCGAGGTCTGAGCCGACCAACGGTGACCCGTGAGCAGCTTGACAACCAGCTGGACGCCTACATGTCGAAGACTAAAGGACACCTTGATGCAGAGCTGGATGCCTACATGGCCCAAGCGGATCCTGAGAGCATGGAGTGACTCCAACGGACTCCAAAGCACAAAGAGAGTTGCTGCAGGACTTGACAACTGAACTCACACTCAAGATGAAGTGTGATGAAATGATGTCCTGAGACATGATTGTGTTCTTTATTTAGACGACAGAAGAAAATCAGCAGGAGGTTGAGGTGTCATCTGAATGTGCTCAGACCACCACTCAGTTTTTCATCAACCTGCTCCTGAAAAAAACCCTGAGAAATCTTAATGAAGGGACCTTCCAATCAGTAACAGACCTGCAGGCTCTAGATCCACATTATTTTAGTTCTGTTTTTATACCTGACATTGAAAAACGGAGAACTGGAACGGTGTAGAGAAGATTTCCAGGAGATGTTGTCCTGATTCTGAATGGTTTTGTTTTTAACTTTTGTTTTTAATGGATATGAATTCTGTTGGGTTAATTTGTCGATTACTTTGGAAACATGAGCAAAATAAAACTTTTCTAAATTCATGTTTTGAAAAGAATGTAAGAAAAGAGTAAAAAAGCCGGGTTTCCATCTTCCTGTTTTGTATTTAAAGAAATGTAGTACTGTTTTTTCTCTGTATCTCCACTTGTTGGCGCTCGCCTGTAAAGCGTCATTATTCTTACCTTGTACCTGAGAGCATTTGTATAAAGTTACCTGAAGCAAGTGAAATAGGTTTTAATTAAAATGGAAATGATGATTTCCCAAACTGTGTCGGAGTTTTATATTTTAAAATGTTTAACCCAGATTCATTGGAGAGATAAAAATGTTAATTAAGTTGATTTTAAAACAGCAAAGTCACAGCTTCAGTTTAAAGAAATGTATTTCACTTATTCCTACATGTCCATGAGTGTGAAACCGAGGTATTAAAGAATCTGAGGTATGCAGGAATGAATAAAATACATTGCGTCACCTTTGATGGAGTAAAGTGTGTCCATTGAAAGTTCCAAACAGGCTCAGATGGATTTTGGTGTTTGATCGTACAGAAAGAATACCTGCAGAGATCAATCTTTATAGAGAAAAATCACTTTTTCCATAGGTACTGGACTACAATCACAAAATGGTTCATTTTACCCGATGGGAAACAAAGGCTGGTAGTTAAGATGCTGCCTTTATCTGCTTCTTTATCTGTTGTTCTTTGTGTCTTAGGCCCTGGGGGTCAGCTGCAAAAACATTTCCTGATAAATGAAAGTTCTCTGGGGACCAAAACCATTTCACTGTAGATCAAACACAGAAATATCTCACATGAAGTCAAATCACACAATTAAAAAATATTGAATGAAAAAAAACTACACAGCATATACCTAACTATTATGGGATAAAACGATTTAAATTACATTTTGTTGCCAGAAGACTGTTTATTTTATTTTATTCCAAGGAATTTAAAATCTTAGCTCTGAGTTTTATTCCAGTCAGCAGTTCTTAGTAAGTAACTGATATCTGTTTTTATTCAACAAAAAAGCACAAGCATGATTTGATAAATTTTAGAAATACAGAAATAAGATTTATTTGCAAGTATTTTTCAAACTGAGGTTATGCCATAGACTGTATATACTTTATATATATATACACTCACCGGCCACTTTATTAGGTACACCATGCTAGTAACGGGTTGGACCCCCTTTTGCCTTCAGAACTGCCTCAATTCTTCGTGGCATAGATTCAACAAGGTGCTGGAAGCATTCCTCAGAGAGCTTGGTCCATATTGACATGATGGCATCACACAGTTGCCGCAGATTTGTCGGCTGCACATCCATGATGCGAATCTCCCGTTCCACCACATCCCAAAGATGCTCTATTGGATTGAGATCTGGTGACTGTGGAGGCCATTTGAGTACAGTGAACTCGTTGTCATGTTCAAGAAACCAGTCTGAGATGATTCCAGCTTTATGACATGGCGCATTATCCTGCTGAAAGTAGCCATCAGAAGTTGGGTACATTGTGGTCATAAAGGGATGGACATGGTCAGCAAGAATACTCAGGTAGGCTGAGGCGTTGCAACGATGCTCAATTGGTACCAAGGGGCCCAAAGAGTGCCAAGAAAATATTCCCCACACCATGACACCACCACCAGCAGCCTGAACCGTTGATACAAGGCAGGATGGATCCATGCTTTCATGTTGTTGACGCCAAATTCTGACCCTACCATCCGAATGTCGCAGCAGAAATCGAGACTCAGCAGACCAGGCAACGTTTTTCCAATCTTCTATTGTCCAATTTCGATGAGCTTGTGCAAATTGTAGCCTCAGTTTCCTGTTCTTAGCTGAAAGGAGTGGCACCCGGTGTGGTCTTCTGCTGCTGTTGCCCATCTGCCTCAAAGTTCGACGTACTGTGCGTTCAGAGATGCTCTTCTGCCTACCTTGGTTGTAACGGGTGGTTATTTGAGTCACTGTTGCCTTTCTATCAGCTCGAACAAGTCTGGCCATTCTCCTCTGACCTCTGGCATCAACAAGGCATTTCCGCCCACAGAACTGCCGCTCACTGGATATTTTTTCTTTTTCGGACCATTCTCTGTAAACCCTAGAGATGGTTGTGCGTGAAAATCCCAGTAGATCAGCAGTTTCTGAAATACTCAGACCAGCCCTTCTGGCACCAACAACCACGCCACGTTCAAAGTCACTCAAATCACCTTTCTTCCCCATACTGATGCTCGGCTTGAACTGCAGGAGATTAGCTGCGTCCGAATTGCCAAATTGTAGTCGAAGTAGTATCTAGCATGTCCGAATTGGCCACCGGAGCGAGTAGCATGCTACTTCAGATACTACTTCAGATGCTAGACACGCCCACATTGTAGGTTGGTCTCGGTGCATCCTACCATAGACGTTGCCATAGTTGCAGCACTGGCTGTCGTAAACCGCTTCGTACTGACGCAAAGCTCCTATAAATAATCCGACAGCACGCTTCAGACCTCTCTCTTGACTCCGCTGGATCGTGAGAGGAGGACGCACAGAATGGGTAAATATTCATAATGTGTTATTTCTCTAAATCGTTACAGCACCATGATACTAATATGATAGCTATAGATGAGAATAATTTATGATTTATATCGGCATTTGACACATGAACTCTTCATTCTTTGGACACCACGTTGTCCACAGTAATGCTAACCCACCGAGCTGCTAGCTTGTTTCATGCGTATATTATCTCTATAGCCAATGAGACCTTTATTTGGGGGGCTGTTTGGTACTATTTTGTGTCGATTGTAAAGCATAGAAGTTTTCGTTGACTGAACTGTAGTTTTAGTGCCTTTTTAGTCGTTAGAAAGTGTTTTCCTCCACAGTTAGCTCGCCTGTGATCTGGGCAGAGAGACCTCATTTAACACGGAAACTGACTTCGACATAACACTTGTCAATGGTCAATAGCATTGCAGACTGTTCTGGAAGTTCGGTGACGGGAAGGGACATGGGAAACGCGGGTTTAGAGAAATGTGGGTTTAGAGCGTTAGACATGAAACTGCTTTTATTTTTTTTTTTATTTTTTTTCACTGGTTAAAGATCCTCTTTGTTCAGTATCTGTCTGAATGCCATGGTGCAGACTCCTCAGTGGGTTTGTCCTGTTTGGTGGGCTGATCCCAGAACAGCAGTGGCCATATTGCATCAGGTTTTGCTTTCACCTCTGCACTGCTGGTTGCTGAATGGTGACAATGAGGCCTGACACAGTCACTCTAGATTTGATAGAGAGAAAACATAAGATTAGTAAGTCAGTATTTTTCTACTCACACAGTTTAATAATTGACCTCTCCTGCAGGTTATCAATGTGATGCAGAATGCAATGAGGAGAGGATGCCCTCAAGATTATGCTGCTTTGGGACATGAGGTAAGTGTGTGTTTGATGGATTTGCTTGATTTGAACAGTGTTTTGTCCTTTTTTTTTTTTTTTTTTTTTACATGTCTGAGGTTATACATGTGAAGGTTAAGTGTTTGTGTGCACAGTGTGATCTGTTGGTCCTTCCTGGTGGACCAAAGATCTCACACAGTGCACAGAGTGATTAATCCTCTTGCAACCCACTGCTGTGCACTCTGCAGCAGTGTTACTAATGAGGACTGACAGATCTCTCAGTGACTTATGTTTTTTTTTTTAGTTATTGCACTTTTTATTCTAATATAACTGAGCTAAAACTGTTGTGTTTGTTTCAGGTGCTGCAACAGACTTCAGACCAGCTCGGTGAGTCTCCCTGAATAAAAACTCTTATATCTCATTGTTATGATGATTGGCTAAATATGTTCAACTGCTCTGAAGTGTGATTGACAGCTGCCTCTCTGAACGTCATCCTGGATACTAAGCTCAGTGCGATGATGGTTTTGTAGATGGATTATCATTTATCCTGTCTTCTTCTTCTGCAGGTTTTCCTCTGCCCTAACCTTCAGTAGTGCAGCAGCATGGCACAGGTATAACCCTTTTTGTTACAATAAAGTAAAGTTAAGCACTGTGTGGTATCTGCAGCCAGCTGTCTGATCAGCCGGTTTGTTCAAAAGTCAGTGCGAGACAAACTTCAACATCTGGCATCGTTGGTCTCCGAGCTAAACGTGCTCCGAGTCCTGGTATTTTTGTTGAGACATGATGCACCTCTAAGTTAAATAAAGTTAATGTAGGCAAGCATTGTAGGGTAAACAAAATCTGCATTTTACTGATATGAAATTTGTAGCTAATGTTCAACTTGAAGGGTCCCACCTGGGGACCTAAGGCTGGGAAAGGTCTCTTATAGTGGTATTTCTACACTCAAACGTGACGTAAGACTCAGGGTGATTCATGGGTGAAACCAGAGAAGAGAGTTATAAAAATCATCTTGTATCTTAGGAAAAGTGGATTTTTATTCCTTTTGAAATGTCCTCCTGTAGAAACCCTGTTACTCACTCAGTGCTGTTGGTTTCCTTCAGGTGTCTGCAGTGATGTGAAGGTGACTGGTCTCCTCAGTCTGTAACCCAGCAGGTGAGCTATAACCTGAAAACTGTCAGCTCTGAGAGCTGAGGTCTGTCCCGACTGACCTTCACCCATAGGATCATGTCGTTGGAAATACCTCGCAGAGTAAACCCGTAGTCTCGCTTTACCCACGTGTTCACCACCATGGGCATGCTGGGATATGACTGCAAAACATCAGTATAACATTCTGAGAGTATCAGGAGGATCTCAGTCATTTACTGAAGGATGTTTTTTATCTTTAGGTCACCATGATGGAGGGAACCTGACAGACTGATGGGTGAGTTTCTGATTTCATCTGTTGTAGACGAGTTGAGCACTGTGTGGTATCTGCAGCCAGCTGTCTGATCGGCCGGTTTGTTCAAAAGTCAGTGCGAGACAAACTTCAACATCTGGCATCGTTGGTCTCCGAGCTAAACGTGCTCCGGGTCCTGGTATTTTTGTTGAGACATTGTGAACCTGTCTTTTTGTTTTCATTAAATGATTATGTGAGAAAATTACTGAAGGAAGGCATAGTAGATTTTGTTTTTCAGAAACGTGAAGAAGTTGGTTTCGTCTTTAAGTTTGTTTGATCCTTATTACTGACTGACCTGGTTGTTCTTTCTCCAGGTTTCTGCTAAGGTGAAGAGAAGCTCCTCGTCTCTTTTGGATTTACTGAACGAGGTGAGTTTGATGCGACTCATGTTGGCATTAGATCTGAGGTCTGTCCCGACTGACCTTCACCCGTAGGATTGTGTCGTTGGAAATACCTCACAGAGTAAACCTGTAGTCTCGCTTTACCCACGTGTTCACCACCATGAGCATGCTGGGATATGACTGCAGAACAACAAAGTGAAGCCAGAAACAGGATAAATCAGAAATTTGACTTTATTTAAAGATTAGTTTTTGTTTCAGAAGGCTGAACCCCTCCAGGAGACGGATCATCAGGACTCTGGAGCCCTTCACAGTGAGTAATGTGTTTTTTCTGTTGTAAATATTTGGTCATATACCAAGGCTTTCAGGACTCTCTCTTCCTGACTTGCTGTGGACTTGACCAGAAAATAAAATCCATCCCAGCGGGCTCCTGCAGCTCCCTGCTGGAGGACGCCTGCGGGGAACATGAGCGCAAAGTTTTTATGGTGAAAAATGTCTTCAATAGTTTTTATCAGTTTGAGATGATATCTCTGCATAAAACAGCTGACCCTTTGCTTCCTTTTGGTTTCAGATCAGCAGAGTGAAGCAGATCCATCCATTCGTCTCTCAGTCTTCTGTCACAAACCCTGGATTTGGTTAAATTACTACGGAGCTACATGTGTTGAGATGAAATGTGTTCTCAAAATGTTTATAACTGGTGTAGCTTTGCTTTCATTGAATAAAACTCCTTAACGCAGATTTTTGTCTCTCTTTGTCTTTTACTTGAATAATGTGCATTTTCACACTCAAGTTTACAGTTTGCTGCTGTGCAAATATCTCTCCTGCAGGATAACCTGAAGAGTTTAAAAGTTGCTTTTAAGATGTCAGGCTCATATTTTGGTAACTTGGTTACCAAAACGTAATCTTTATGATCAGACTAGCAGTTAGAGAAATGGAAGTATCTACACAGGTGATGGACTTAAAAGTTAATCCAAACCCCCAAAGAGATTTTTTTTTCTAGGGATTATTTTGTTTTTAATCCTTTTTGTAGTGCCCAAACTGACTCCAGTCTGAACCAGAATTAGAGATGGTAAAATGAAGTGCACAAACCAATCAAAAATACCCAAGTCCTTCCCTTTTTTTTTTTTTTTTTAAAGTACAGTGTGGTCAAGGTTTTTACCACCAGCTTCATGTGAAGAGTCTAACTCTGTAGTCTGGGAGAGGTTTAAGTTTGACAATTGCCTAAATAATTTCCCCTATTTATTTAATGAGTAAAGTTCGAAAATCCTCTGCCAGAACTTTGTAAATCTGTCATCTCTGTTTCCAGATGATTTGGGAAAGTCGGTACACACCAGTCTCTCACACCTGCAGCAGCGTGTTGCCTCCACCAGGGGGCAGTACAGACTCAAACAATTGAAATACAGGCTTCCTCTCGGGTTACATTCTGCCCTTTAAAGGATATGTTTGGAAAATGAGGTTTCCTTTGATTGGACAGTGAAACCGATCTCTGCAGCATATTCCTGTCCCAGCACAAGACAAAAAGAAATTTACTATTTAAAATCCCTTTTTGAATGCCCACATATTTGTGAATTGTCCCTTTATAAGCGGGACTCTGCAGGGCTATGAACAGGTGATTGTCAAAACCCTGTACTGTCAAAGGGAAAACGTAATTTTAAAAAAGTACAATTGCAGTCAAACTTAAAGCACAAACTGTGATTCAGAAAAGGTTTTTTTTTTTAATGACCTATCACATTACCTATCCAAGTGTATCTATTTGTTGATGTTTTTGTGTCTTCATGGTTGTTTTTCGTCTCCTTGTAGTCATTTCCTATCATTCTGTGACATTTTTATGTTTCTTTGTGGTTCAGTTTTGTGTCTTTGTACATATGTGTTTCTTTGTTGTTGCTGTTTTTATTTTCTGTGTTTTCAAAGTTTCATGTCTCTGAATTTTGTTGTTGCTCATCTTTTTTACATTTGTTCTGTAGTTTTGTCTTTGTAGCTGTTGTCAGTCCCTCTCTAGTTGACTGTCTTTTAAAGATATTTCCCGTCTCTTTTGATAGTATTTTTGCAGCCCTTTGCAGCTGTTTGGTCTGTCTCTTTTCCTCTGTGTATTGCTTTTGTTGTTTTTCTGTTCTTGTTTGTCTTTTTTAATCACACTGACCCACTCTGTGATAGTGTTTTGGTCCCACGTGGTCATTTCGTGTGTCCTTGTGGTTGTTTTGTCTGTTTGCGGCCTCTATGCGTCTCACTCTTGTTGTTTGCATATCTTCGTGGTCTCTTTGTGTCATCCTCTCATCATCTATTTTTATGATGGAAAATGCTGATGATATAATGGCGTCTTGAAAAAAAACTAGGGTAAAGTTCAGTGAAAGGAACAATTCGATCCCACCAGATCCAAAACAGCTTCCACGCCAAGTCCTAACACGAAACAGCGGGCTGCATAGATCACATGATGCATGTGTGTTTGAAGTCATGTGACCTGTTTGCTGAGGAAAACAGTTGAGAAAGTGGAAAGTACATGACCTCGGAGTTACACATTCAGAAGATGATCTTAAAGAGTTCCTCTTTAAGATCAGAAAATGTGCGGCAATCTCAGAGTCTTCACCTCAATGAACAGAAACTGTTCGTTGATAATGAATTCCAACTCAGCAACACAGTGAATTTTAACTTGAAGAAACTACCTTCAACGAACACACCTCTTAAACTTTTACAGGAAAACTTCATGTACTATTTACTTCAAATGTAAAACTATTTAACTGTTTTCCTTTAGCCCCAATGGCCTATATCACTGAGACCACTCAGACCAATAAGATTACCAGTATATTTTAACTGTGTGGTTTCTGAAAACCTGAGGCTTGTTATTTTACTATTCAAACTTTTACTAACCTTTTAGATGCTAAAGACTTGAGGCTTTGACTACAGATCAGGTGACTGCGTGAACATTCACTGTATTCACAGTAACACCATCACAACTGTATTATAGGACAGTAAGAAATGGTCACGTCAGTGGTCATATCAGTGACTGATTCAACTACGTGTTATAGTTTTATAAATGCGCAAGAGTACACTGAGGCAGTGTTCACGCCAGTCATAAATGAAACTGTTTGTGTATACATGACTATTTTGTGTTAGTTTGCTTCATTCACAGAAATAACTTGGATCATTTACTTGTCAAACTGTGTTTATGCCCAAAGGCACAGCGTTACTCAGGAGAGGAGGGGATTTCTTTCACATTATTCAGTCTGTATTTAGATTGTTCACATTCTGAGGATTTGTCGTGTTTTCACATCTTATCAGATATTCAGACCTCTTGACTCACTTTCCCCACGGCCAGCTCCTTTTTATTCCTGTTTCTATTAACTAAATGAGTGTTTCTCAGAACTCAGGCTAGCTTCACACTCTCGCCGTCAGTTTGTCTTCCATATTCCAGATTAATGTACCTCCATTAGTCCGTTCTTGACCAGCATCGCCAGGGAGATCTCCATGCTGACTGGCTATTGAGGCATGAGTGATTGGATATTTTAGCTCTTGTTTGTTTATTTGGATCCCCATTAGCTTAAGCATCAGCTGTAGGCTATTCTTCCTGGGGTCCATTATCTGCATCCAGGGTGAAAACAATATTAGACACAAACAGTGCTTTCACGTCTGGCCAGCTATCACTTACGTATGTCATGATTTTCTTCCTCTTGTTCCACCTCTGAGGGAGGAACAGAGGCAGAGCTTTATTTCCATTACACCTCTAGTAATTACACATGGCAAAACAAACAAGACAAAGGACATAAATATGCCTCCATGAAAGTACATAAGAGCTAATCATCAGTACACAGTGGGACGTTTCTTTTCAAGGTCAGAGGGAAACAGTCACTGTCTGCAGACACTAATTTATGAGCATTATCAGTGAAGGCTGTAAATGACTCCCAGTTTAGTTTCCTTGATTATTGTAGGTCCTCACTATCAAACATACATGACCCTTAGAGAAGAGTGAGGATGGCCCACATAGGTGTTTTTATCATAGTAGAGGATGATTACTTAAGCTGAGGACACACCCACTCAAACACCTTTCTTAGAAAACATTTTTTTTGACAGCTAACGGTTAGCATACTGACAGGTTCTGCCAGATGGAGTGACTAATGCCAATGACACATTTAGTGATGTATTTGTTGAGACAAATCCCTGCTATATTAAGATAACTGCTGCTCTCAGACTGGGGGGGGTACTGTGATACAATACTGAAAAACTGGGACATTTGATCATCATAATTTTAAAATGCTAACACAGTTATAATGTGGGTGTAAAGTCAGTCTGTATAGTAAAATAAAGCTTATCCAAAGGGGATCACTTTGGGTGATGAAATGAAATTTAGGTTGGTTAGAAGACCAAATGAACTATATATATATGTATATAGATAGATAGATAGATAGATAGATAGATAGATAGATAGATAGATAGATAGATAGATAGATAGATAGATAGATGGAATCTAGTGTTGAGCACAAGTTGGAACTTCATAATTAGAAAAAAAAAGTTGTGATTAGTTATTGTGGTAAAATGTTATTTTATGTAAAGAAAATTCTAAAATTCATTATTGAGAGAAAAGGTAACAATTCATTTTTGACAGAAAAGTCAAACACCATCATTAAGATCAGATATTTTGTAAAATGTATGTTCAAAGTTTAAAGTCATCACTCAGAGGGTTTCAGATTTTTGTGAACAAGATAAATTCCTTTAATAAATTGTTAAAAATTATAGAGAAAAAAGTTTGAATAGTCAATGCTGATTAAAGTTCATATTAAGAAACAGAGAATAATCAATGTCAAAGAAATGTCAGAAATTAACACTAAGAAAAAAACATCAAGATTTTGGTGGAAAAACAAAGTTTACAGTTTATGTTGAGAAAAATTTTTTTTGCTGATCAGTGACTCAGGCTTTGCATTTGTTCATTTCTTTTCTCCTTTAATCTGATAATGTTATTGTTTCTCAGCCTTAGACATGAAATCCGAACTTTTTTCTTTACAGTTCCAACTTTTTTTTCTGACTTGTATGATAATAAAAAATCCCCCTCTTTTTATCTTTCGTTTTGCTGGTCTCTGTCCCTTATACTTTTCCCTGGGCCTGTGCTGTCTCTCAAACTGTCAAACACGTAGTCCTGGTGCTGTTGAAAACAGACAGCAGAACTATAAATAATGGTTTAGATGCCTGTCCTGACCTAAAGGTGAAGGTGTTTACCAGGAACTGTTATGTCTGCTATGCAGTAGTTCAGACTGATGTCTATGCTGTCAGACCTGCAATAACTGTAAATCTGTCTAAAAAGTCAAATACATCAACTGTTGTGATTCTATTACATACAAAAACTGACCTAAATTTAATTAAGTGCCATCCATTCAGCATTTTTTAATATACTACAACATACTCTTTACATGTACATTATTTTTAGATTTTCAATCATTGTTATGTGGTGGTGATGGCATCAGGCTGAGGAATCACCCCACCATCATATAGGTGTAACACCTGTGTGACTCATGGGTAAACTTGGCGCTCAGATCCGTCCAACCCTTTCCTGGGTTTCAGTCTGTTTACTACAAATGTTCTTTTTCTCCCCGTCCACCTCCGACTTCCTGCCTCACATCTGCTGAGCACGCTCTACATTCTCAGAGCCATGCGGTGTCCACGCGTCGCTTCTGCGCGCTGATTTGCTAGAGCCGACACAAACAGAGCATTTCCACCAATGGGAGCGCTGTGCACGCGCTGAGCCATGCTGTTCACCCTGGCTGCTCATGGCTCAGTGTGGCTGCTCATATAAAAACCCCTGTCTGTCTTTGTTTACAGCAGTCAGTTGAAACCGAGAGAGAGCGAGTGTACCCGAAATCAAACCATCGCCCCACAGCGGTTTAACCCGTACATTTATCTGTGTGGAATAATCTAAATCAGCAGTCATGGTGGCAATGACGAAGAGATTGAAGACCTTCCAGATTGTCTTTTCAGACCCCTGCAAGACTTTTTACTGCGGGGGGGACAAGGTGTCTGGTCGAGTGGAGGTGGAAGTGAATGAGGTGACACGCGTGTCCGCAGTGAAGGTTCTGGGTCTGGGCTGCGCCAAAGTGGAGTACGCCAAAGGCAAGCAGAAGTGCAGACAGGAGGCCGAGTACCTCCGCTACGAGGAGGTCCTGCGACTGGACGAGCAGCCCACAGGTACGGACATTTACCCCACTATCAGCCCCTGCAGCGTTTTATCTCCTCTGTACACTCAGCTATCTGTTGACATGTTAGCAGAGCGACGATAACAAACACGTGCCAGCGTGAAAACAGACAGCTAGAGAAGTACCTTGTTGAATCTAGAGGGGCAACGATCGACGATCAGATAGTATCGATAGCTTTGATTAATGTGGTGGTATCTGATACTAGTTATCTATCAGTGCTGTGGATGACATGTAGGGCGAAAGCCAAAGATCAATTTCAGATTTGATGGTTGACACTGAAAATTAACAAAGGTTCGTTTTGTATTATCAGTAAATATGGTTAAAGACTGATAACATGTCAACCTTACCTGACAAATACAGGTGAATGTGTGAAGTCAGAGGAGTTGACATGATCAGTAACTTGAGAGAAGACTTGATTCTTAATCCAAGTCTAATTTGTGGCTTCTGATTTCCTAAAGTACATCTTTATCTAGATTTATAGTTTCCAATATGAGTTAAATGAATGGTTCTTGTTGACTCTACCTGTGTTAATCCATTCACAGAGGGTTAGATCAGGCAGACTGGCACTGAAGTCAAGTTTACAGTGAAACCCCCCTCTGCCTTCCATATCAAATTACTGGGAGTTTCCTATTCTAGATTTATGGATGATAACTCAGCTGGTGTTTCCAATGAGGAATCAGACTTTCAGTTTTGTCTGGTCTCACTAGGGGCGCACTAAATGTGACATGAGGTCAATGTTCAGGGTAATAAAACTTAATTTTACTTATTTTCTCCAGATTCTGATGGATCAGTCCTCTTGAGACCTGGAAACAAATACGAGTACAGCTTTGGATTTGAGCTCCCCCAGCACGGGTAAGAAAGAGATCATCAACATCATCACGTAAGAGTCTTTTTAAATGGTTTTAGTTTTACTTTTACTGATTTTCTCCATATGTGACCTTACAGGCAGTTGGTGTCATCATACAAGGGGAAGTTTGGCTACGTCCACTACTATGTAAAGGCCATCATGAACAGGCCACAACAGGCCCCCCTTGAGTGCAAGAAACCCTTTGAGGTGGAGGAGCCTCTGGATGTGAACACCCCTGACCTGCTGGTGAGTTCACTGATACTATCAGGATACCTGGATCTGGAAATCTGGTCTCTCCAGTTTCTGCTTCTTATATAACGCAAGTCTTATATTTCTTGAATCTGACCTTGTTGTGTTTTCCCAGTCTCCTACAGGCGGTGCTAAGGAGAAGAAGGTCACCTGCATGTTCATCCCTGACGGTCAGGTGTCACTTAACGCCAAAATCGACCGTCGTGGCTTCTGCGAGGGGGAGGACATTTGCATCAATGCGAAGTTTGAGAACACCTGCTCACGTATTGTGGTGCCCAAAGCAGCCATTATCGCTAAACACACCTACCAGGCTAACGGACGCACCAAAGTCTGCCGTCAGAAGCTCTCCGCTGTGCGTGGAAACCACATCATCTCAGGGATGTGCGACGCCTGGCAGGGGAAGACCATCAGGGTGCCTAAGATCAAACCATCCATGCTGGGGTGCAACATCATCCGTGTGGAGTACGCCCTCATGGTGAGCACTCCATCCAGAAAACTACATCACTGAATTTGTTGCCTGACTTGTTTATGAATTGAAGTTAAAGTGAGTGTTTTATGCTTCCTCCAGATCTACGTCCACATCCCTGGCAGTGAGAAACTGATCTTGGAGCTGCCCCTGGTGATCGGGACATCCGGTATTGGCAGTCGCACCAACAGTGTGAGCAGCCAGGAGGGTTCAGTTAGCAATGCCTCTCAGAGCTGGGTGTCCCTCAGGATGCCTTCTGAGCCCCCTAGCTACTGCGACATCACCAGAGACTGTCGCCTGGACCAGCCGCTCACGCCGCTGCTGGATGACGTGGACTGTGACGACAGCCCCATCTTTATGAACGTCCCCTCCTTCACGTTCCCCCCTCCTCCAGCATATACAGAGGTGAGACTCTAAAGCAAGTGTAGGCCATAAAAGATGAATATAAATCACTCTAAATTACCTTGAAATTAATGAATCTCTATTTTCCTTCTGCAGGCGGAGGAGGAGTTTAACGGCAACGCCCGCATGCTGCCGGTCTGCTGAACTCCTTTTGTGGACTCTTGAAGTTTGGTCCAGTTCTCAGGGACCGACTGTCTAACGCACTTAAAGGAGCATAAGGTCCAAACATCAGAGTTTCTGATGGAGGAGTGAAGGACTGAGGAGATGGACAGAATCCATGCTTGCCTGTACTTAAACCGTGCTTCCTCAACTTCGCCTTCCTCACCTGGGTCTTCCTCTTGGAGCTCGTCAGGTCCCAGACCTGGAGGTCAAGTCGCAGAGCTTGTGCAGCGCTACATATCTGAATAAGCTGTTTCTTCCATAGACCTTTAGAAAGTGGAGGTCTCTCTGTCCAATCACAGACACTTTAAGACTTTATATTGGGGCCAAGCAGTAACGAGTCCGTCCCCGTTTGCTGTGACTTCTTTGCTTTTGTGGGTTTGTCTCTCCTTCGTCATTCCAGTCAAACCTAAAGGATCCAGCTGAGGAACTGTCCTCTTTGTTACCCAGCTTCTGTTGCTGTAAAGAATCTGTCAGGATCATTATCCAGCATGTAAAGTAATCTTCTGGGGATGCTGATAAACCAGCACCTATTTCTTCCCGTGTCCCAGTGTTTGAAACAAAGTGGTTTATTCCTGTATGTTTTTGCACTTTTTGGTTGATGCATTTTGCTCTACTACTGCCTAAAGAGTTTCTCTTTGTGGAGATTTGTTTGAACAATATTTGTGTTGTGGAGATTGATTTTGTTGTATATGTTAACACTTAGTTTGAACCTCACATTTTGTTTCCATATAAGGGCTCAGCTTAGCTTAGTGCCAAACACTTTCCACCCACACACTCCTGTCTGATGGGACACACTCCCTGTGAGGATAATCATGTTTCTGCAGTTGTCCTAGACAACATTTCATTCCACTGTGGTGGTGTCAGACCTTCTGTTCTTTCAGGGCGCAAAGAGAATCACTGTTAAAGACTGATTTGTGACAAAGTATGTTTGCAATGCATCCTGGATACTTCAAAAGAGTATTTTTGTATGAAACCCTATGGGTTATTTTTTTACAATAAAGAAATATGAAAAATACATATACTGTCTGCTTCTTTCCTCTCAGTCTCTGGTTGTAGACCAGATGAGCTGGGTTCATAGCTACAAGGTTGGAGTGTTTTGTTTTTCTGCTGTTTAAAATTTACCAGTCTGATACTGGACTCGTATCCATAGCAACAGTCTGATATTGCGTTATAACAGACCATGCTAATAACTTGCTGTGCTGTGACCTATCAGAATTAAGAGGAGAAGGACACCTGGGTTTCCTGTCCTACCAACTTGGTTGTAGGTTCAGACTTAGACTCAAACTGTTATAGACTCAGACTGTTGTAGGTTCAGACTGTCATAGACTGTCATAGTCTCAGACTTTATAAGTCTCAGACTGTTATAGACTCAGGCTGTTGTAGGTTCAGGCTTAGTAGGCTTCAGTAGTAAAAGGCCTGCACTGGTATATGTTCAGGCCGCTACAGGCTTAGATTCCTAAAGGTTTCGACTGCTCTATGTCTCCTACTGTTTGCACTCGTATAGACTTGGTACTTTCCATATGTTTAAATCCATACTCAGCAGGGGTCTGGTCAGTAATCGGTCTGGTCCTGCTTGAAACCTCTGCCTGTTGAAGGAAGTTTTCCTCTGCCTCTGCTGGCACCCTCAGCATGGTATTTGATCTTGGTGGAAACTTGACCGCTGGCTCTGTTTCTATTCAGACAGAGTGCAGTTAGACCTTCTCTTTCAGTCAGACTGTCTTTGATAACCTCTGCTATAATTTGGTACCTTTAAATTCCTGCTCATTGTCAGACCTATGCTCATAGATAAACTGTTAATGATGGAAAATCACTGTGGCTCAGAAATATGAACTTGCCTGTTATATAATTCCTTTTTATTGTATGTATTCAAACATCCTTTGCTCTCTTTTACTGCTGCAATATTGGCTTACTTAGGCCTATATAGATCAGGTTAATGTTTAACACTCATTGTTCAGGGTCGAACCATGCCATGTGTGCACATACTTAGCCCATAAAACTGGTTTGACTCTGGAGTCACACTTCTGTAAATTTCCCTCTGAAGACTTAGATTTCGGTCTTTGTTGAAACCTTTTAATCTAATCTGATAATCAGTTAATCTGATTTACCTGTGTGTTAATGAGGTAAAACTGACAGTTTACAGGTTGTTTTGTCCTAAGACTTGGTGTTGGTTTGTGGGTTAAACACTATAAAGTTGGCAGGAGACGCATGATTCAGATTCCCAAACTAAAGATAAGATTTACAGCCATGCAGGAGTGGCTCCTGTGTAACCACTTTAGAAAAACTCTTATCTTAAACTTGGATATTATGGTAGGATTGTGTAAAGGGAGGTATTTTCACTGCACATTTAAAAAACAAAGAGGTGTACGCCAAATGAAAATGTTTCTAAATGTTGCTCTGGTGCCTCAGAGAGCCTGAAAAAATTCCAATCACTTTTCCTAAAGGAGGGATGGAAATTCTTTCTCATTCTCTCTGCAGACAGGGTGGACTCATGGGTCACTTATATCCAGCTGGAGCTGGATCTCTGGGCTGTGCAGTCAGAGTTTCTGCAGGAGTGTTTTTGGTTCTTTTCTCAGAGCTGCTGACGTCGGTGCGTTGCTGACAGAGACAGATAACGAAAGTGTTTATCAGAGCGGGAGGGGGCTGCTGAGTCTGCATGGCTGAAGTCTGGACCACTATTCTGCAGCCAGCTCAAACCTCAATTAAGATATTAACATCGTCAAAGGAATCAGACGGGCTGTTTAGCACCTCCAATAATAACATACACATTCACAATCTGATGAAGTAGTGATGCTTACTGCACAACAAAAGACTAAGATTTTTAAACGCACTTAAAAGGTGCACTTCAAACTTAGTCTCACTGAAATAAACCTTGTTTGAATTTAGAACAGCAACTGAAAACTTCAGTTTATTAAAGCGTTTATACCAAGGTCAAACTGCGCCTAATGAAAACTAGAGACTGAAATTTACCACTTAAGACTGTTTGAATTTTAGAAGACTTTTAATATCAACTCAGTGAAACACTAAAGCTATAAAAAGAGATGCACATGAATTAATTCAACATTCACTTGGTGCAGTCGCTCTTCCTCTGGAATCCTTAATATTTCTCCTCTTTCTGGTTCAAACTGAGTTGTCAGCACTTTTATTTTTGTTTTTTGATGACTCTGAGTAAATGATTCAGCTCCACACTTTTCTCTCTGTTTTTTTTAAAATACATTTTTGTAGATGACAATGAAGCTCCACCGTCTAGACTACTTATAGGGACTTAAAGTACCACAGACAGTCAAGACTTCCACTGTAGATGATAGTTTTCTTGTTAGCCAGTCTCTGTTCAGTGTGTTTTATCCTAATATTTGTAATTTGATATTTTTAATGAATTTACTTATGGGGCTCAATTAAGTTCCTGTGTTGCATTGTATTATTTGATTTTGGTTAAGTTTTGGTTTTATTCTCAGCTGCATATCATGAATTCACACTCACTAGATACAGACTGTTGATTACATTGTTAACTGTTTGACAGCTGTAGTTACTCCATATTGTTCTTTATAAACATATATTTTTTTATAACAAACTAGTTTCACTGATTCACTCCTGTTTTACTTTCAAAGTGAGTCTTTCTGCCTGTTGTTTTGAAGTTTCATATCAGCTGTGATTCATCTCAGGAAGGTTTTCATTTTTGTGGCCAAACCACACTGCTGACACTGAAACGTGCTCAGAAAAGTCACATGCTCAGTTTGCTGACAGCTTCATTTTATTTTTTTTGTGTTTTTTGTGTTTTTTTGCTTGTTTTTAATTATCTAACCCACTCACCACTGGTCTCCCTGACATATAGACACAGCTGTGAGTGGGTCTCCAGTCAGGGTTCGTGTCCTTACTGTCAAACACAGTCTGAAGGATCTCACAGTGAGACCCTTCTAGCATCAGTTTACAGTTTTAGCATCCAAGTAGAACGGAAATATCTTCTCAGATGTTTACATACAGCCGCTGAAGCTGTAAGGGGGTCAAAGGTCAACAAATGGAAGGGGCTGAGGGGGGTCGACATGTGCCTGGAAAATCCTGCACGGCTACTGTCCGTCTGCTTTCTAAGAAAGACAAACATAGAGGAGGACATAATCTTAATGAACATGCTTTCTGTTACCCATGATGCACTGTTATTTTAGTAAATGCATCAAAACAATGTTACATAACCATGGAAGCCCTGAGTGGACATGGTGTGAGCAAAGGCAGCATGGCGTACTGTAGTCTGAGCTGTCACAGTGACCAGCCTTAAAGGGAACATAAACTCACAGAGAGCCAGATTTGTCACAAGATGAACAGCTTTATTATCAAAGATAAGAAGAAAAACAAACTCAGATCAGGAGAGAACGACCAAAGTGAACCTCTATAAAATCTAATGAATAAGAAACATGTTTAAAACCTTTGTATACCTTCAAAGTTTATTTTTTATAGTTTTAAATAGTGTTTTTTAAGTGTTTTATAATTTAACCAGCTTCAAAGCGTCTATTGCTCTGAATGTTATTAAGCCTGAGGCAGGGAGAGCAGCAGCAAAGACCCCCAAGGTACTGAGCACAGCAAATCTGGATAAAATCAGACTCAGCGGAGAAGGTGGGTGCTGAGGTTGAGGTGGGTCATGAAGTGGTTTACAGAGGAAGCAGGAAGAAGAAGATTTAACAGATTATTTTCACATTTGGCAAAAGCACTTAGCTGATCTGTCAGCTGATATGGGCTGGCTTTGAGATCACCTGTTGTTCTCTGTGGGCTGTGCTTGAATTCAAGACCTGGCTGAAATAACATTATACAATTACTATCACTTTTCTTATGGGTTCTTTGGGATTTGATAGTAGGCAAATTTGAGAAAACAGACTTGGTGGTCACTAATGAAAGAAGAGGAATCAGAATCGGAATCAGTGTAGCTTAATGTTTTTATCAGTATTGCACTCTTAGATTATTGAGGTTTTGACCGGTTCACTAACAGTTGAATGTAATCATATGTACTACATTAAATCATGACAGGAAGTGAGACTCTGGGCATTACTGGTGTGAAAAATGCCAACAGTGGACACAGGCCCTTATGCAGATCATTCTTTTACACTAACTTTTTTGGCTTGATGCTTTTACTGATAACAGAACAGTAGGAAGGGAAGGAAACTGCTTGAGGGCTGTTGGCTCTGTACATGGACCCATGGTTTAAGTGCTGGGCCTTCAAGGGAATTAGACCCAGACAAAGGTTACGACATGTATTGTATTGTCTAAAAATCACCAGAGTAACCTTTTAACACAGAAAACAAAATAACATTTATGTGGGTTAACGACTCAGACAGCTGTTGTTAAAAATGGAGTGATTGGTGAGTTCTAGTTTCTGGATCAGAACTGAAACTGTACACAAAGATGTTTCTGTACAGTATAACTATTGTGTCTATGTGTGTGTGTGTGTGTGTGTGTTGTTCAACAGCACTCTTAGTGTCACGTCTAACCCTCATGATTAGGTGCTGTGCTTACAGAGAGAATTCTGTGGTGAATCAGAAAGAACAAACGGGGCGGGCGAGGAAACAGACGCCTGGAGGAGGAAACCAGCTCACTGCGTCTGTGTGTGTGTGTGTGTGTGTGTGTGTGTGTGTGTGTGTGTGTGTGTGTGTGTGTATAGTGTGTGAGTGCGTGTGTATGTGTATTTTGATGAGGGTGTGTGAACATGCTGTCCTCAAATGCAAACCCTCGTGAACAACTGGTGCAACCAAAGAGGAAGCGAGTGCTGTGCCGCCTCAGCCAATCAGAGGCCGAGTCTGAGGACAGATGGAGGCATGCTGGAATAATGATATGATGAAGAGGATGATGATGAAATATGTAAGCGTGTTGTATCAGGTTTATTTAAAGAGCTGATCATGAAACCCAGAAATAAGTCCCACTGTAAAAATGCAGTGAGGTTAACCCTTTGAGCGGCACAAAGATATTACACTTAAACACCAACCCACTTAGCAGACATGGTCAGTGAGATTTGCTGTTCTGGACACCTGTAAACCCTGAT